GAGGACCTTCAGTCGCAGAGAGAAGCAACAGCTCAGATCGAGGAGGAAACACGCCGGAGTAGTGGTCGCCGACCGAGGACCGAGACGGGCCAACGGCGATGTGGCGTCTGTGGGAACACTGGTCATAATGCACGAACATGTCAATTTGCTGAAGAAATGTCTGAAGAAGAGGATCTTAAATAGTTTCAATTGAATTACTTTTCTTAGTGCTGCGTATCGGTCGCAAATGTGCTGTGGTCGCGGTCGGCTGATCCACTCGCTTGTCTGATCCACTCGCTTATCAACCACGTTAGTTAATAGTAGCAATAATAACGTGAATGATAAGCGAGTGAGACAGACAAGTGAGTGAGACACAAAACTGCGCCGATGAGATAAACTGGCTTCCATATCAACATCAACAGCATCAATTCAATTCAAACTACTCATAATCCTCATCTTCAGACATCTCTTCAATAAACTGGCACGTTCGTGAATTGTGTCCCGGGTGACCACAAACGCCACACCGTCGCTGACCTGTCTCGGCCCTCAGTTTGCGACCACTAGTACGACGCATTTCCTCCTGAACCTGCGCAGTCACATCTTTCTGTGACTGTATATCTGCTGCGTCAGCTACAGTAAGACTTCCTCCATATTGTAGGCGTGTTTTCTTAGTTCTCCGTCGTCGACTGAGTTGGTTATTCTTCGTCTCTAAGAATCTGTACCTCAGATCTAAGTAAGGCTACTTGGTGCATGATGCCTCTTGTACCTTTAGAAAGTCGTTCAATAGCCTCGCAAATAGAGGTTGGGGAGCTGCTTTGGTGACGAGTGATCCGACTCTTAATAAAGTTGGATTGAGAGCTTGCCTCTACTGGGTTGTTTGGTGTCCTTGAAACCCAAGGCGGAGGTGTCTGTGGTAGTGATGCTGGAGGCGTTGGAGTGTGTAGCCGGATATCCAGCTTTGATAGGACGCTTTCTGCACTCAGAGGAACAAGCCCAGCTCCTCTAAAACCCCCTTGGATGTTTTTTTCAGTCATCGCTTGACTAAATGCGCTGCGATATGCAGGAAAGAAGTCCTCCTTTGAGATGTGGGTTACGCCCCGCCGCATCTTATCCTCAATTTGTTGCCCATACGCCGTCTTTAGCGGACCAAAGCACCCAACGTCAAGGGGCTGGAGTAGATGAGACGAATGAGGCGGCATACAAAGTGTAACGATCTTGTTTGCCTTGCAATATAGCTCAAAGTCTGTTGAGTGGTGACTTTCGTGCCCGTCGACGACGAGGAGGCGATATTGGCCTCTCAAACGTGGTTTCGTATGACGATCATAGTGCTGGATCCAATCTAGGCCTCTTTCATTTGTTGTCCATCCGTTTTCTGACGTCGCAATGACCCAGTCGTCCGGGAAACCTGACTCTGTATACCAGGTTGAGAGGTGATATTGGCCTGCAACGATGATGTACGGCGGGACGTTATAGCCTTGCGAGTTGATGGCTTGAATCACTGTAACCCATTCTCGATTACCAGGCTGCGCCATTTTCGTGTTTGAACGCCTTTCAGTACTTGTGACAACCATGCCAGATGCAATCTGGCCCATCATAAAGCCAGTCTCATCAAAGTTGTAGATATCAAACTCATCGATACCATACTTCGCGATTGTGTTCTTCACAAGAGCGAACCAGCCGCGAATAGCCTCTGCATCCTCGCATTGGGCCCTCTTGTAGTCGTACCTCCGAAAAAACCGCGTCCGCAATTGTGGTTGTCGTTTGACGAAGTTTAAGGCCCAGCGCTTCCCAACCGGAGGCGCGTCGCGATCAGCAAGCAGTCGATCAGCCATTTCTTCCACACCACGGATCCGGGGAGGGAATGATCGGGCATCTAGATCGAGAATGTGATCAACTAACGTCTGCTCTTCTAGCAAAGTAAGATTCCTCGAGTTCGGTATCCTGTCGCTTCGAGATGTAGAGCCCTTCAATCGTCGACTCAATGTTGCATGGCTGACCGAGTAGATCGTAGCTGCAGCCCGTGCACTAAGCTCTGGATTGATTCTGATAGCTTGAAGGGCCAGCTGTATGCCTGACTCATTACTTCTGGATGCCATGATGTGTTGTGGAAGAAACGTCTCCATTTGTGTTGAAGCATCATCGGCGCAGTTTTGTGTCTCACTCGCTTGTCTGTCTCACTCGCTTATCATTCACGTTAGGTAAAAGAGCATAGGGATAAATGACGTACCGTCAAGTACCCCTTTCAACGCGGGGAAAAAATGGGTAAATAATGGGGCGTTCGAGTCTTGGCAGAAATGAGGTCCATCAGCACCCGATGGGATAGTTTCGCCGGCAAACCGGCATTTGAAGAACTTTTGCTTCGTGTTCTACTAGATAAGAAAGGTAAAAGGTATTCCAGTATCTGAAGGCGTCATAATCCTGAACTTCGCATCATTTTATGGACTGACATCTTACATTGCGAAACACAACACTTTGCTTTCTTGTGCAACTCCGAGATACCAGACCTACGCTACATTCAATGCTCTTGGAGAATCAAGGCAGCAAGACTTGGTAACTCAGCTCTCAACGATGACGCCAAGAAACGTTCTCTTGCTCGTCGCGGACGACTTGGGGAAACAGCTCGGCTGCTACGGCTGTCCCTACATCCAAACACCAAACATTGACAAACTCGCCGCCGAGGGTGCCAGATTCGAAAATGCTTTTGCAAGCACCGCATCCTGCAGTGGAAGTCGCTCAACAATCTACACTGGCCTTCACACTCATCAGAACGGCCAGTACGGACTCAATAGTGGCAAGCACCACTTCATGACGTTCGATCACATCGAGTCTGGTCCTGCTCTGCTCGCCAAGAACGGTGTCCGCACGGGAATCATCGGCAAGGTCCACGTCGGGCCCGATGCCGTGTATCCCTGGGAGTGGCGAGCCGAGAGCTTGAAGCGAGATGTGTGGTGGTCTTCTCAGCGTGCGGCGGAGTTCTTCAACGCTTCCAAGGACGACGGTCGGCCATTTGTGCTCACTGTTGGATACCATGATCCTCACCGCGACCGGACGCGCGGTGGCTTTGGAAACGATGAACCTGTCGATGAGAGGATCAAGAACATCAAGTACCGACCAGCGGATATGGTCGTTCCTGGGTTTCTGTCGGATAGTCCGGGTGTGCGACAGGAGCTTGCAAGTTACGCAGAAGCCATCAGCCGTCTAGACCAAGGCATTGGTATGATTCTTCATGAGCTGGAAGAGTCTGAATTTGCGAAAGATACCTTGGTCATCTTTATGAGCGACAATGGCCCTCCATTCTTGAACTCCAAGACCACGCTGTATGACGCCGGAATTCGCCTCCCTCTCATCGCTAAACTGCCCGGTGCAGGTTCATCTATCAACCCGAATCTGGTATCTTATGTGGACATTCTGCCTACGATCTTGGACTGGATCTTGGGCGATGCCTCGGATGGCGCCAAATCACAACTCGCCGGTCGGTCTTTCTTCGACATCATCAACGAGAACCACGAACTCGCTAAGTGGGATCACGTCTTTGGCTCTCACACATTCCACGAGTCTACCAACTACTGGCCGACACGTTATATCCGGACCAGGCGCTATAAGTATCACCGCAACATTGCCTGGAGGCTTGACTTTCCCTTTGCCAACGACATTTACGGCTCGTTGACATGGGAAGACATTCGAAACGCGGATCAGAACCCAAAGATGATTGGCGAAAGACAACTTAAAGACTACTTCTTCCGCCCCGCAGAAGAGTTGTATGACTTGGTGAACGATCCCAACGAAGTCAGAAACTTGGCAAAGGATCCGGATTATCAAGACGTATTGGAGGAGCTGCAAACGAGATTGGAAGACTGGCAGAGGAGAACAAACGACCCGTGGCTGTTTCGAGATGGAATATCGATTCTTCTGAACAAACACCATCTTGACGCTGGTCTCGAAGTACCTGATAAATGGGACCTTGACATTGAGCATCCTGAGACAAAGGGCGACAAGGTGAAGAAGTACCAGAACTTGCCGTTTGGTGTGACTGGCCCCAGATCTTGATAGCATCTTAGGTTGATCAATGAAACAACGCTATGAAATATCTACATCCTCAATTTTTTATCTAGTGAACTTTTCGTTCGTTGACACTGACGTGCTGTTTGGAAGCTTACACTGACTCTCGAGAGCCAAACACGCATGTTTTCAATTCACATACGTAGGTACCTGCCACACCCAAGTCTAAGAAAAGCTATAAGCAATCGTAAGCAAGAAGGGACTTCGGACATAGCGCGCAACTCCCCGCTAGCAACTCTCATGTAATTCTTGAGGCCCAGTGCTCGGCAGAGTTAAAACGCCTCGGCCTGATCCCTGGTATGGGGACGTTGAAGGTGACATCGGCGCAGATCTTGTACCATCCAGTTGGTCTCCCAAGAACTAGGATCGTAGTTCTCTAAAAGAAAATCTACCATACTGTTTTCGTCTGTAAGCTGGGTCTGGCGCGAAGGATGAGGCACAGACGACAAAGGTCTCGATGCTCGTAAAAATCGAAAAGGTTGTGGTTGGGTTTGCCAAGATGGAAAGAGACAATCCCCCGAGCCCTGCCAAGCACTATCCCGCGTGTGGCAGGCGGGGTTGTCTGAAAGATTGGCGGGCTTGCATTGTCCTCATCTTTCCCCATTATGTCGTGATGGCTTTCGGATGATCACTGCCGAACAACCTACCAAAAGCTTATCTTCACAGTAAACTCTTGGCATGTCAAGGATTCTTGACTGTCAAAGGGAATAGTATGATACGAGCGGTTATTTCCAGTAAGGAAGTAAATGTGAAGAAGGAAATCACGTCGAGTTGATTGTCGATGGTGTGCGACCTCGGTGTTCTTTTTACCGTTTTTCGCAATACGTTTATACAACAAGCCAACACCATGTATATCAATCCTTCAGGAACTCCTGTGGTGTAGATGTGTTTGAAATACCTAGGCTCTAGACTTTTGACCGGTAAATTCTCTGAACAGCTGACTCGTGCTCTGAGCTGCAACCATGAGCTCGCAAAAGCCACCAGTCATCGAAGTCTCTTCTGGTGGGGAGAGGGTACCTCCTGGCGTACACGATATCGACACAAAAACTCCCTCCTTCGAGGTCGACTCGCCCAAAGACGAGATCAGCGACTTGGCCGAGCCCCAGGATACAACCAAAAACTTCGGCTTTTGGGAAGCGCTCACATGCCGCAGCACGACGCGGGATCTCGACGCCATCGCAACAGAGCGAAGTGTTTTTGATGATCCCAGCTTGGCGCCCTTCTATCAGCCCCCACCAGAGTACGAGAACGTGCATCGCTTTGATTCGCAGGAACGATGGACGCACCGCGAAGAACGCTCTGTCCGCCGAAAGACAGATTTCAGTATCTTTGCCTGGATTCTGGTCATGTTCTTCGGTCTCAACATCGACAGAGGCAATCTCGGCAATGCAGCTGCGGATAATCTCTTGAAAGACCTCCATATCAACACCAACGACTACAACAATGCTCAGAACATGTACCGCATCGGTTTTCTGATCGCCGAAGTTCCATCTCAGATGATTGGAAAGCGGCTCGGACCTGATAGATGGATCCCCGTTCAAATTATGCTCTGGAGTCTTGCATCTGGCGGACAGTTCTTCATGCATAACCGGGCTGGCTTCTTTGCCTGCCGATTCTTCATCGGTCTCTTCATGGGTGGCTTCATTCCGGATTCCATCTTGTACTTGTCGTACTTCTACAAGAAGACTGAGATGCCTATCCGCCTGGCCCTCTTCTGGTTCGTCGACTCCATGTCCGGCGTCATTGCATCCTTCATGGCCTATGGAATCTTGCACTTGCGCGGTGTTGCAGGAAAAGAAGGATGGCGATGGCTTTTCCTGATCGAGGCTCTCGTCAGTTTCGTCATTGGTGCCGCCAGCTTCCTCTTCCTGGTCCCTGGACCGACCCAGACGAAAACGTGGTGGAATCCCAAAGGCTACTTCAACGAGCGCGAGGAAAAGATCATCGTCAACCGCGTCCTTCGTGAGATCCTTCCAAGAGCGACATGCACAACCGAGAATCGCTGTCTCTGGGCATGCTCTGGAAAAGTCTCAAGGACTACGACCTGTGGCCGATCTATCTCATCGGCATCCTCTTCGAGATCCCCACTGCGCCACCGAAGACATATCTCACGCTGTCCCTCAAGGCCCTTGGCTTCAGCACCTCCAATGTTACTCTGCTCGCCATTCCCGTCACCGTTTTCGCCGCGGTTAACATGCTCTGGGTTACGTTCCTCACAGAGAGGTTCCATCAGATCGCCATCATTGGCCTGCTCTCGCAAGTCTGGGTATTGCCGCTCCTCATCGTGGAGTATACTTCCATTGATAGCCTTTCACCGTGGGCGCAATATGCCGTTACGTTCATGATTCTCGGCCAGCCGTCTACCCATGCGGCGCATGTCGGATGGTGCTCCCGGCTCTCGAAAGCCGTCAGGACGAGAGCCATTAGTGCCGCGCTTTACAACATCACCATCCAGCTATCCGGAATCGCTTCTTCCAACATCTATCGAGAGGATGATAAGCCTCACTACCACCGCGGAAACAAGAACTTGATTGCAATCACTGTGGCAACAATCTTTGCGTATGCTTTTGCCAAGACCTACTACACTCTTCGCAACAAGTCCAAGAGAGCGAAATGGAACAGCATGTCGGAGCAGGAGAAGACGGCGTATCTGGCCAACACTAGCGATGAAGGAAATAAGCGTTTGGATTTCTTCTTCGACAGCTAATCCGAGACGGCCAATCACTACTGCATCACAATTGCCGCACAGAACCTAGATGTAACCCTAGAACTTGCCGGAAGATACATCACCTACAACTGAGAGGGGGTTAGTTTATTCACGTCGATAATACTACGTATTTGGACTTACTGTCAATCGAATGTAATACAATAATCCAACCTTCGATGACATAAATGCCTTTCGTCAACATGACTCTGGAAATCATCAGTTTAATTGATATCTATCACGCCAACGCCAAATACACTACCATAAGTCGTAAAATCTAAGTCCTCTTATGGGAATCTAGTGTGCCTCAACCTCCTCCAACTGTCTCCTCCAAACCTTGATGGGCATTTCTCCGAGCAACCAGTTCATCGTTTCCTCACGCGCCATCTCAAAGTCCCGCGGCAGAGCAAACTCATACCTGTGCACAACCGACGCCAAGAGCACAGCCTGCTCAAGGTATGAAATGTTGCGACCGATGCACCCTCTCGCGCCGGCGGAGAAGGCCAAGAAGTACGGCTGCAGCTCCTTGCCCTTGTCGCCAAGCCACCTGTCCGGCACATACTTGTCGGCGTCGGGGAAGACGGTCTCGTCGCGGTGGGCGACCACGCCGGACATGCTCACGGTGGTGTTGCCCGGTACCCACTCGCCCATGATGTACATGCCTTCGGGAGGTGTCCTGCGAGGCAGGCCTTGCGGCGTGGGAGGGAACAGGCGGAGGGACTCGTCGAGGCAGGCGCGGAGGTAGGGGAGGTGCTTAACTTTGTCATAGGGGGCGACAATTTCGTCAGCATCAAGGACGCTGTCAACTTCTTCGCGGAGGAGCTGGAGGTATTTCGGGTTCTTAAGAAGCTGGTAGAGGACGTTCGTGACGGCGATCGCAGTGGTTACGCTGCCGGCGTTCATCATGATGTTGATCTCAGCGACGATTTCGCCCCACTCGAGGTTGTTGGCCTCGCCGTTCTTGTTCTCCATCAGGGCTTGGAAGAAGTCGTCGAGTTTCTCATCGCCCTTGTTGTAGCGTTGGAGGCGCTTGTAGGAGAGTTCCAGGACGATGCCGTCCCAACCCTTAGAGGCCTCGGTCATCTGGCGGTAGCGGGGGATGACGTTCGAAAGCTTGTCGATGAGCTTGTAGTTGTCGTAGCTCCAGACGAGAAGGGACTGTTTACGGGCGGTGGGGTAGAGGAAGTCGCGGAGGGGGACTTCCCAGGTTGAACCATCTTTGTGGCGGGCGAGGACGCGGTCGTGGCCGCGATCGAGCAGGCCGAGACGTTCGGAGAGACCGATGTCGGCGATGGCGTCGAGGGTGAAGAAGTTGCCCCATTTGCGGTAGTCAACGGTCAAATCCTCTGGCTTGGGGAACATCTGATCCTTGGGGAGGGGGTCGGTGCAGCGCTAATCGAGTTGCTTGAAGAGTCTCTCGACCTTGTCTGCGACCTTGTGTTCCCATCCCTCGAGGTTCTTCAGGGCATAGGCCGAAGACAAGACCTTTCACTTCTTCGCGTGGTCATGCTTGTCGACCACGTCGGCAAGGTGGTAGTGAGATCCGGCAGTGAGGACGTAGGATTCATCCTTGATGCAGGGGGTTCCGTGGCCATAAATGTCCTTGATGGCGCGGACATCACTGAAAGAAAGGGTGTTGGGGCCGGTGCGGAGGATCGGGCCCTTCTCCCGGTGGAGGTTGACGAGATGGGTAGATCGGGCGCCGGTGCGGGCAAGGACCATGAAGGGGATGTTCTAAACGCCAGAGAATGTGCTCAAGTTTTCAAACTTGCGCATGCCTGAGCCTTATGTTAGTAGTTGCAAGTGATGGGCCTAGAACTGAAGAAAGCCCACCTTTTGTGTCCTTGAAGTATACAAATAGAGGGTAGACAATAAAGTAAGACAAGGCAACGAAGAGAAACCCAGCGGCGTATGGCGCCTGCGAGAAAGTAGAGAATCTTTCGAGTGCCATTTTGCTAGTTAGATCCCAAAAGATCTTGTCAAATGGAAAGGGCAAACGGTGGGTTGGAAGGATGAAGAGCTTTGGACTATGGTCTACTCCATGCTGCTGAAAGAAAGGACGCCTTCTTCAACTAAATAACCATCCGCGTTGTGGAACACTAATCAGCCACAAAGTCACGAGAATGAATAAAATCCGCCGTAGACCAATGCCCACTTGGTTTGGTCTAGCTTGCGAGAAAGGAAAATCTCGCCGCGACATCGCATTCGCTCACAGCTCGCAGCCTACAGTCCCTCCCTCCACTAGCTACGACATGTTCTCCGCACCTCTGCACGTCACAAACCTCAACCTCCCCCCTTTCGTCTGAGCTGTCAACAAGAATAGCTCAAGAGACTTTCAAGAAAATCCCGGATAGGAAAGAGGGGCGCAAAGCTGGGGGCGGGGGGCGGGTTCTGCCCCAGGCTGGGACAGAGACGGGATTAAGTCGCTCGGACCAAGGCAAGCAAAGGCCAAGTTCCGCGGGGAAAATGCAGTATGCGATCGACGCATGGCTGATGGGTAAATGATGCACCATTGGGTAGTTCTGCACTGGGGTGACAGATCTTGGGGTTATCTCGGGGTCCGTCACACACCCTTCACGGCATCCTTACGCGGGGGAGATGTAGTCTTTCTGCTGGGCTGGACCCGCGATCTGTGGGGTTTGTATCTTGATCTGGTAATATTCACCGCGGGAGAGACTTAAGAGTCGAATTGCAGTATGCCAAGAGGCGCTCGGTGTTCCAGCCGACGATGGAGAAGGCGTCAAGAGGCTGGGGCGAAGTTTGGGGAAATACGGGGACCTCTTCGGTAATCTTGCAGTTTGTTAGATGGATATCTCGATCCCGAGGGTTATGTCGCCTATCTTAGTTTAGACCGCATCACAACTCGCCTTGCCAGCCGCTTCTTCGTGTCTTCTCCCCGCGGGGAAGTGGATAATGAGAGCAAGGCCTTATCGAGGGAAGCTTCTTGTTACGGCCAGCTAGTCGTAGTGAGGTATGTTTGCAGAAGTTGAGGCTGCGGAACTGGTAACAGTAATAATCGAATGTAATAAACAGATGTAATAATCAGATGATTATTACACTGGGTCGAATCGGTCTCAAGTCGGCAAGGCTTCGGTGATCAATCGTAGTCTTGTCAAAGAGGTTCTCAGGGAAGATAGCTGAAAGCGATCATAAGATCTGATACGAAGTTAATTGCTGAAGAGCTATGGAAGTTGACAGAATCCATGCATGCTCCTATGCGAGTCATGGACATAACCCATTCGGAATGGTCTGACCATCACGAAACAGGCCAGACTGTCATTTCCACCTGGTCCTAGCTCTGCAAGACTTATTAGGATAGCATTAGGCCCACAAGCCTGTGGTGATTCCATCCACTCTTTAGTACGAATAGACGCTCTTTTCTGCTCACTCACATATGCATATTCCGCTGGCCACCCTGACTAACCGTCAGAAGTCTGTCCTAGAGTCCAGCTCAAGTCCATCCTTATATACAAGTCCTGATCCTGAACATGTCCTTTGTCCCTTGGGTCGTCTTGGGTCATTCTGAATCAGAATGATCGTGTTGGGCAGCGATTATCAGGTAGGGGGTCAATGGGATGTATTGATGAGTATGAAGAACGAGTGGCTATGGGAATATCCCGACTATCTATATAGTGAGTGGAAGACCCTTTATACTGGCATATCCTTGGCAAACTTAGTCATGCTTGTGTAAGACCATATTGTTTCATAGACATAGTGTGACAATCGTTGTAACGAGTGTACTGGGATGGGCCTGACAGATCGTTTAGCCCCCAAGTCGTGTTGGATCACATTGATCCCAAATGATCCTTATCTTATCGTCACGTGACTTTTACCATAGTTCTTCCGTTCCGTGAGAGGGTGCCTCGTGTCCCCTTGTCCTGTGCATATATGGCGTATCTTAACCGCCGTAAGCCTGCGGGGTAGGCCTTGTTCTTGGTCATGCATGTTGGGTCGTAACACCCTATGGCTATAATTAAGCCCCTAATAAACCCCCTATTATTATTTACCCCCCTTACCTAGCCTATTGTTACGCCCGCCGCAACTTGTCACTGTGGGCGCGTAGCTATATAATGCAGAACAAGGGACAATGATGCCGGAGTCATCATTATCGAAGCTTTTGCTTTGTGCCACAGTTGGTTGCCTTGTCCTGCTCGTAACATTAAGGTTGATCCTAATACGAAGTTCGCCAACATCAGGGATATATAGCGGGCTCAGATCGAAGTGGGCGAAAAAGAGGTTATTACGGTTGAATCCAGCGATTCTGATTGCCCTAGTGAAGCTGGCAGCTGCATTGTAGTGGGTGAGGTTGAGGATCAATAGTTAATAGTAATGAGGAGGTTGGGTTGTGATCCCATCGTTTTTGTGGTGCCAGAAACAGGGGGGGCAGGAAGTGGGTATGTTGACTTAAGCCAATTTTCAGCCCGGGCTACAAGAATTCAGTAAACCCCTAGGAAATGAATGGTTTTACTAACTGAGAGTTCTTTCTAATCAGGCTACGACACTGGTGTGATTTCGGCCGTTCTCGTCAGTCTCAAAAGTGACCTCGGACACGAATTGGATTCGCACGAGCAGGAGTTGATCACGTCCATTACTTCTGGCGGCGCTTTGATCGGTGCGGTGATTGCTGGTCTTCCGGCCGACAAGTACGGGCGAAAACTCGGCATTTATATCGGTTGCCTTCTCTCCTTGTAGGCACAATCATTCAGGCTGCTGCGTTCTCCGTGGCGCAAATGACTGTTGGACGCTTCATTGTCGGCTTGGGAGTCGGTTCTGCGGCCATGATTATCGTGAGTTACCATGAAGCTCCCTTTTCTCGGCAGCAGCTCGTTCTGGGCTGCAGGTGTCAATGTGCTTCAACAGGTACTAATCAAACGCGTAACAGCCTCTCTACATCGGCGAACTCGCACCCGCCAAGCATCGCGGTCGCATGATTGCATTCGACAACATGAGCGTAACCCTCGGACAACTCATCTCTTACGCCCTCGGCGCCGGCTTCACCGAGGTCTCCCACGGATGGCGCTACATGGTTGCTGTCGGCGGTATTCCACCCATTATCCTCGCTTTCCTCCTTCCCATGTGCCCTGAGTCGCCCCGACAGCTCATCTCTCACGGAAAACTCGAGGAGGCTACGCGCGTCATTAGGCGCGTCTACCCGCACGCGACGGAGGAGCAGGTCAACGCCAAGGTTGGACACATGACGTGGTCGGTCGAGGTCGAGGCCCAGGCTACCTCAGCCTCGCTTTGGGATCGCTTTAAGGAGTTGCACGTTGTGCCTGCCAACTTCCGTGCTCTTGTTACCGCGTGCGCAATTATGTCTAGTAAGTATCCTGCATTTTCCGCTATGTCCCAATTACAGATGCTATAAGGGAGGAAAATAAGTATCTATACATATACTAACGCTTGTTAAGTCTCACAGCTTGGCGGTTTTAATACTTTAATGTACTATAGCGGGGTTCGTTAACTGAATTCTTGGCATAGATATCAAATTCAACATGCTTACGAAAAATAGGTTCTCTTCGGCCTTGTTGGCTTCGACAAGCCTGTTGCTGTGTCCATCCTCGTTGGCGCCACCAACTTCGTCTTCTCGCTGGTCAACCTCTTCATCATCGACAGACTCGGCCGGCGCCGCATTCTCCTGGTGACTGTTGCTGGAATGGTGTGTTTCTCTTACATCAAGCGCTGGACTTCTCAGCAAGTCGAAACTCCCAGTCGCTAATGTTTTTTCTCCAGTCCGTCAGCATGGCCGTAGCCGCCGTTGCCTTCCACTGGATCCCAGTCTCGCTAGATCTCAAACTCCAAGCTACCTCGGTAAACTGGGCTGGCATCCTCGTCCTCGTGACCATCATCGTCTACGTCGCCTGCTTCGCCGGCGGTGTCGCCACCATCGCTTGGGTCGGCACCGAGCTCCTGCCCCTCGAGGTCCGCGCCCTCGGCCCCATGATGAACATGGTCACCTGCTGGGGCTGCAACATCATCATCGCATCTACTTTCCTGTCCATGATGAAGGGCATGACGCCCAGCGGCGCGTTCGGGCTCTACGCGGGAATTTGCTTCTTCGGATGGGTCTTTGTAGGCTTCTGTTATCCCGAGGCCAACGGTTTGCCGCTCGAGGTTAGGCAGATCTTCTCTACTGGGTTTGGTGTCAAGAAGGCGAATGAGCTACAGAGACTTCGCAAGATGGGTGGTGGCTCGGCTTAGGTCCTTGTTAGGAAGTTGCGGCCTCTTTGTTACGCGTATTACATACAGCCAAGCGACAATTATCTCCATAACGAGGCATAATTAATGGAATCTATCAACAACTAAGATGTCCCGAGTTGTGGCCATTACGTAAATTGAGTGTGCAAGACAAAAAGTCAATAACAGCTGCATCTTGCCAGCTCCTGGATTCATACCCTAGGAGATATACACACTTGGTGGCGGGCCAACGTAAGTCTCTTGCACGCCGCCAAGGTCAACCACGAGCTTTTCCAATATCAAGTTCGAATGCTTAAGACGAATCCTCACGTTATGCTCCCCAGCACTGAAGCCATTCTCGCCCAGACCATGCCTTCGCAACCAAGAACAATCCTGTACGGCATAGAACCATTCTTCGGGGAGGTCGCTGGTCTTGGGCGACAGTCGATGGGTCTGGACAGGTCCATCGTCAACCTGCAAGTCGTAAGACATCGGATCTGCCGGGTCCAGGTCGAGCGTCATGTTGAAGTACAATAACAGAGACGGGCTCGCTGTCTGCGAGAAGGCGTAAAACTTGTACGTGAGCTCCGCGCTCTCCGCTCCCGGGGCAAGGGAAATCCCTCCCTCTGGGGTCCTGCCGCAGTCCGGCAGTGCTTTGAGATCTTGTGGAGGACGATGCGCCGCAGGGATGGAGATGTACCCGTCGCTTTCGACAAAGCCTTCTCTGAACAATTTGGGAATGCGTCTGCCAGTGATAGGTAGATGTAACTGCTCAAAGTCGCCCTCTCTGGATCTGATATCGATCAAAATCTGCTGGTCGAAGTCATCTGGCACCTGATCCCAATCGACTGTGACATCAATCCGCGCATCATCTCCATCAGGATCAAGCGTGCCAGACGACATCGAGAGCTTGACCCAGTCATATGGAACCGCAGCTCTCCAATGCGTCACCTGAGGTCCCCGACTGTAGATATCAAACCACCTCTTAAACGGTCCATAGCGACTCATCAGCCTCAAAGTTACCCCGGGAACCAAGTCCCGCCGGCTAGGGTGTGTTCGATCAGACTCCTCATTCGTCCTGCCTGGACGAACGCCCTCATGGCCTTCAACAGCGATTCCCATTTGCCCCATAACTGGATTCGAACGCTGCCGACGCTGGACGTAGCACAGGCCGCCTATCATGTCGCGGTACGGCGCGTGCCACGTCTCTTCGTAGCCGTAGTGTGTCTGGCTCATGATCTGGTCCCACTTACCGTCCAACAGAACGTGGAACTCCTCCGAGAGGGCGTAGTCTGCATCAAAGAGGTCGAGAACCTCGCGGGCGAGCTTGTTGGCGACGTTGCGGCGCTGGCGGGCGTAGAGTCTGTTCCGGCCTAGGGTCACTTGGAGTTTAGTAAAGATTGTCGAGGCCTTGACTGGGTGAAGGACGGTTTCGAAGATGGCTGCCTTTTGAGCCTCTGGGGTCTGGTTGTAGATCTCCTCGGCTGATCGAAGGAGTGACTCCCAGCGGTGTACGACGTCTTCTGCCTCGTTGTAGTGGATCAAGGAAAAAGTCGTCGGTTCAATGTGTTCGTGTCTTCGTAGTGCCGAGAGTCGATCGTATCTTTGCCACAACGATGCGATCTGGTCGGATTGGTCCTTCCCAAAATTTGTCTCTGCCATTGTCTGATAGAAGTTTGCGAAGTCGTCGGCGCCGATAGAGTTGATGTCCCAGGCCAACGTCATTGCAAAAGTGAGCGGTACTTCCATCGGCTTGATGTCACCAACGTTGAAGACCCAGATTTGCTTCGCGTTACGTTTGTGTGCTTCTTGTAGCTGATGCCAGGTTTTCCCCTGTTTCCTTCTGTCAACTATATGAATCTTTGCAATCATGGGTTGCGACAAACCAGAGAGTTACTGTTGATCCACTTGTAGCTTCGTGGAACTCCCACATACTCGAAGTGGTAGTATATCTATTCTTCTGTCAGCAAGTCACGATGCGGAAGAAATAACATAAGAGAGGGGTTTCCGTACCCCTGCACCCCCTTTTCTATCCCTTTCTGCTCCAGATGGCAGGCGCCTGATACTGCCAAAGTTGTCATCGGCGAACAGAAGAGTCACATCATCAGGCACATCAAGACTACCCTCCTCGTACTGCTCTTGCACCTCCTTATACAGGGCCAAGAGCTCTGTTGCCCAAGTTAGTTGCCCGCGCTTCTCTCTATTTGGGGACATGTTACCACATACGAGGAACAGCATCTTCTCTCCCATGAACCTGTTTGATAAGAGCCCGCTGCGTCTTGATAACATCCCTTACAACAGCAGCCGGATCATCCGTCTTCATCCTCCGGTCATACTCGCCGCGCATGCCAAGGGTGAAGTACGACTCGCGGCCCTTTGCCCTCTTGACGCCCTCATCAAAGAAGCCGGTGATCTTCTCCTTGTTGGTGAGCCAGTTCCAGCTGCCGTCCGGGTTATCTGCGAACCACTCGTTGGACATTCTCTGCATGGGCTCGTGGTGGGACGTGGAGACGGCGATGCCGTAGTCTTCGGCGAGCTTGGGGTTCAGGGGGTCGTCTGTGAAGAATGAGGCGCCCGGGTTGGGGTAGCCTGGCCACATTGCCGGCCAGAGGAAGTTGGCCTGGTGGAAAAGTTCAGCATTCGGAGTTTTGTCAGGTTTCTGTCACGAAGTACCTTGAGCCTCAGTAGCAGTTCAAAGACCTTCTTGTAGAATTCAGAGTTGTAGCCCCCGAAGTTGGCCCTCACCCAGCCCGTGAGGGCAGGAGCTTCATCGTTGATGAAGATGCCGCGGAAGCGAATGCTCGGTTCACCATGACAAGTCGGCTGTAGTATTGTGTAGATAGCTTCATGATGTTTGGGAGGAACATCAGCCCAGTAATACCAACTACATGTCCTTGATGTTAGCAGATGGACGGACCATGAACGGGAAAGGAATCTTACGGAGAGACTCCGATTTGCTCAGAGAGAGTGTAGGCGCCGAATATCGCCCCTCGCTTGTCGCTCCCGGCAATGACGAGGGCTTTCTGCAAGCCCGGCAAGGGTTCTTCGATTACACAAGTGCTGAAGGACTCCCATTTCCCTCGAATCTCGTCAAAGTTGAGCTTCCCTTCTTGATCCAGCCGCTGGAGAATAGAACTTGACTCGATTGATCCGATGATAATGGCAGCGGCAGATCCTAAGGCGGCATCGACTTGGGTCCCTTGAACGACCTGAACTGTGCTCTGTTCCGACTGGGTGACCCGACCAAAGTCCTGCGCGAGGTTCTGCGCTGCGATGTGAATGCCGATCGGATCCGACTCGTCCACCAAGATGGTTGCGCCGACCAAGTCCAAGGCCTCGGCGTCTTTGGGTGACGAAAACGTCACAATAGCTTTTTCAAACATTTTGCTGTATCATGAAAGCCTTTATTTGCGAGTTGTGCGGAAATTTTTGTTTGAGATGACGTTAAATTCGAGTCTTCTCGAGCTTCTCCTCTCCAAGTACCCACACACCGGGTGATTGCCGGCCGAGGTCGGCTCCCTCAACAACAGGCTGCCAAGTGATCATCCAGAATTCCGCCAGAAAAAGTGTATTTCCACCTCACTACCGCCTTGGCATCGTAGGACGGTAGTCAAGATAAAGTCTCTACTTCCAACCTGCTTTCATAACTCATCCCCTAGACTATCTACACGATCCGTCGGAGTATCTACCATATTCTGCATCTGCATAGCTGTCCTACACCCAAGTGGACATATTGCGCACCAGACAACATTCAAGCAACAAAAGAATTTGGGTAGAGTCATCTTCCCCCTCCCAAAAGACAACAACACCTTCTCCGCACAACAGGTCATATCTGGTTAGCCACGCCATCTTGACCCTTGGCCCGGTGTCCGGCCCGGACTCATTCCCCCGCACGCCACCCCGGTCCTTACCCCCGCCTCCGCAAATCCTTAATGGAGCCCTTTCTCCAGGTTATTATGGAATGATCATCGGCAAACTACGGTCTGGGATAGCCGAGGGCGACCAAACACGCAATGAGCCAAACAAAAATAAGAAAAATGTAACGATTATCGCGGTGAACAACCCCTTAAGCGGCATAGCGGCCCAAGAGGTTTTCGGAGCTATGGCTGGATGAGTCGTGCGCATATGCCCAAGGTCGCGTGGTCTCTGTACCTACATGCCCAAAGTACGTACGGGATGTGGATGGGCACCCCGGCCGTACCAAGACTATGGATTTGCCGGCTGGTGTTGATCCAAGCTTGGGAAGCTCAAGATGGTCTGACCACCCCCAGATAAAAAGGGCGCACTCTTTCATCCTTCTTCTCTCCTTGACAGTCTCTTGGCTGTCGGACGCGCCAAGCAAAGCTTCTCTAGCCTACTCCTGTGCGACGCAGAGCCTCGAACTTCAGAAACGCAGTATTTTCAAGGGCTGCTTGTTCACGATGGGCAAAGCTGACATCGTCGAGGCGCCCGTTGTGGTCGAGGACGTGGCCGACGGCAAGCAGCGGACAAACTACGACAAGGTCGACAATGAGGTTGCCAAGTACGCCGGCGAGGCAATTGTCGAAATCGATGCAGCGACCAACAAGAGGTTGAAGAGGATGATTGACAAGCGGGTGTTGAGCGTCATGGTCTTTACCTACTTTATGCAATCGCTGGACAAGGGAACAATGTCGTTTGCGTCCATCATGGGCATCATTCCTGATACAGGCCTCGTAGGCCAGCAGGTAAATCACCGTAGTCGCTTGACTCCAAAACTCATGCTAATTGAGCAGTACTCTTGGTTGACGACCATCATTTATCTCGTCATTCTTTGCGTCGAGTACCCGGTAAGACTCACTTCCTCCCATCTCCCATTGAAGACACACATGCGCTAAACAACATGCGACGACAGGAAAACTACATTATCCAGAAGATCCCGATTGCGAAATGGCTCTCGTTCAACATCATCATGTGGGGAGTGACGCTCAGCCTCCACGCCGCATGCCAAAACTTTGTCGGTCTGGTCATCGTCCGTGGCTTCCTGGGTGGTTTCGAGGCGGTCTGCCAACCGACTTTCGTCCTGCTCACGTCCATGTGGTACAAGCGTGAGGAACAGGCCTCAACCGCCATCTACTGGTGAGTAGACAGCAACTGTTATCAAAAGAAACCAAGTTCCAGGTGTACATGAATGCTGATTCTCCATACTACGCGCAGGTACATGATGAACGGCCTCCAGCAAATCATCGGCGGTCTTCTAGCTTTTAGCTTCTCCTTCATCCCCGGCTCGTCGCCCATACGATCCTGGCAGGCCCTGTTCATGACCTACGGCATCATCACCGTCTTCTGGGGCGCCTTTGTCATGTGGTGGATGCCCGACTCGCCGATGAAGGCGCACTGCTTCAGCGAGAAGGACAAGAAGCTCATGGTGGAGCGCGTGCGGTCCAACCGTACCGGGTTGCAGAATCGCAAGTGGCGCAAGGAGCAGGTCTTTGCTGCATTCAAGGATCCCCAAGGTGAGAGAGTTCTCATCTCGTGTCGCAGGGGATGGTAAACTGACAGAGTCCCCAAAGTGTATGGATTTGCTCTCATTCAGCTCTTGACTACCCTTCCGTCTGGTGGTCTCGGCGCGTTCGCAAACATCATCATCAAGGTCACCATCCGCCATGAGCAAGCTCCTGGCTGAGAATATTGGAAGCTGACACTGCACAGTCCTTTGGTTTCTCCACCTGGGAAACCCAGCTCCTCCAAAGTGTAACAGGCATCCTCCAAATCATTACCATGCTCACAGCCTCCTGGATCGACAGACGCTTCAAGCAAACCATCCTCGCCATGATGGCCGCCGTCGTCCCCACCATCGCCGGCACCATCGTCCTCCTCACCGTCCCCTTCGAACACGGCAAGAAAGTAGGCCTGCTCCTCGCCTACTACATCATGATCTCCTTCTGGGCGTGCAGCGGCCTCGCGCTGTCGCTCGTCACGCGCAACGTGGCCGGGCAGACTAAGAAGGGCGTGGTGATTACGAGCAACTTCATCTTTTGGGCCGTGGGCAACTCGATTGGCCCGCAGGTGTTCCGCGCCAAGGATGCGCCGCGGTATTTTTTGGCGTTGGCTATTATTCTGGGGTGCTTTGTGTTATTGGAGGTTGTGCTTTTTGCGCTGCGGACGTATTATGTGTGGCAGAATAAGTTGAGGGATGGGAAGATTGCACGGGGTGAGGCTGTTGCTGATGCGACGCATTCTCATGCTTTTGAGGATATGACGGACAAGGCAAGTTTACGTTTTGGTGGTCTCTCTCGTGTTCTTCTTGCTAATATTGTCACAGGAGGATGTCAACTTTAGATACAACTACTAAGTGTCTGATTCAGACATGTAGGTTTAGTTGTCCTTCTAATAATCGCGGTGGATTCTGGGTCGTATAAACATGAGATGTTGCATGAGCTAGTAGGAGGATACCGATTCACTCTAGACTTAACCTACGAGTTGTTTACTATCGAAGCTCAAATCCTTTGAGATATTGGATGCTTTAGGCAGAGATCAGAATCATCGAATATTCTTGGCCACGCCACAACCTGGCAAAAGCTTGTGAGAGTGTCACAATCAATGAACCAACACAAAGTACACAAAGACTTGTGAAAGAAAAAGGAATGATTGTACACTGTTGTGGACATGTACCAGCAGGGATCCTCGCAACGTTGCAATCTTTCCCCTCACCTTATCGACCAGGACCCCAGTCTAGCTTCATTATCCCAGGTTTTCTCAGCAAGCCCCCTCCCCCAGATTCCCACAATACTCCCATCCCTAAACCCCACGCCATCCACTTCATTGGATCCAAACCGTGCCAACCTAGGATGCTCAAAGCCAAAAAAAACCGTTGTTGGAAGCGGGGCAATTACGAGTCCCCTTTCCTATGAGGAAGCAGCGCCAGCAAAGAGCCCGATTCGGGTTCAACGCCACAACGGTGCGCACCCGAGGAGGTCGCTTCTTTTCCCCAAGCACTCCGACTATGAGATATCCCGCCGGCAGACCGCAAATCTCCGGTCAAGATTGCCGGTTGTTTTCCTCTATGCCAAGTTATTCCCCGCGTGGGGGCTTCTCTCGGCACCGAAATCCCCAGCCAGTCGGGGAAGGGGACCGGGGGGTAAAAAGTCAAGGAAACGAGGAGAATCGGCCGGTCGTCGGCCGATGATGCGGAGAAGCTGCCGAGAGACAGAATTCCTTATTCTTTGTAAGAAAGCTGTGTGTCCCATGTTGTGGTTAGTTTGTTTCCTCCACGACAGACGCTGGCTCCTACGCTTTTACACTTGGACGTGAGAGCCTAGAATATTCGACAAGTGTACATGTACTGAATCAACTCAGAGGCCAGCACAGAGACATCCTCCACGATGTGCGGTCTAGATGGACATGTCGGGAACAGCTCGTCCTCCTACCCGCTGCGGGCACCAGTTCCCGTCGGGAAGAGAGCCAACAAGCTCTACAGAGACCGCACGGCGAACTTCTACTCACCGGGACAATGGGAGAAGGTCAATCTGCTCTCGTACGTTTCCTCTCTCAACAACCTATCTCATTCCAGCGGCGACCACTGACCACACCATCCACAGCATGATGCACCTCGCGGTCCGCTCCGACCCCTCAGTCATCTCCCTCACAGTATGGCACAGCCCGCACCTCACCCGCCCAACCTTTCCCGACGCAACGGCCTCAACAAACACCTACACCCCCTCCAAAATCGGCGACGCCTTTGGGCCATCCTGGTCAACCCACTGGTTCAGAGTCCGCGTCACGATCCCAGAGTCCATGCGACAGATGAACCACCTCGAGCTCCACTGGGACTGTAGCAACGAAGCAACAGTCTGGACCGAAACCGGGGAACCCTTACAGGGCCTCACGGGCCGCGGCGAACGCGTCGAGTGGATTCTGCCCGAGGCGTTCAAAAATGGGGACGAGCATGTTTTTTATCTGGAGATGGCGTGTAATGGGATGTTGACGAACGCGGCGGGCGAGCCGATTTTCAAGAATAACGCCAACGGGGACGCGATTCAGCCTCCTGATCCGAATAAGACCTTCACCTTGACCAAGGCCGAGATTGTAGGCGTGGATTTACAGGCTAGGGCGTTGCACTCCGATATCACCGTGATCCACCAGGCGGCGGAGGAGTTCCCCGAGGACTCGTGGGAGCAGCACGAGGCTCTGAATATCGCGACGCGGATCATTAATGCTTTCCGGGTCGGTGATCGGGCTTCGATTGTGACGGCCCGAAAGATTGCAGAGGGGTATTTGGGGCCGGATGTCAACTCGGCGAAAGTGTTCGATGTTGGTTCAGGTGAAAAGGGGGCGAGTGTGTATGCGATTGGGCATTGTCATATTGATACGTGCTGGCTATGGCCTTGGGAGGAGACGAAGCGCAAGGTGGCGAGGTCGTGGTTGAATCAGTGCGATTTGATGGATCGGTATCCAGAGTTGAATTTTACTTGTTCGCAGGCTCAACAAGTTCGTATCTTTGTCACTGTTCCCTCCCGCCCTCATTCTTCACTCTTCCTTCTTCCTCTCACCTCCCGCAATCTTCAAGACAGTCACTAACTCTGTCCCCCAAGTTCAAATGGCTCAAACTACTCTACCCGCACGCCTGGACCCGCGTCCAATCCAAAGTCGCCTCCGGCCAATTCCACCCCATCGGCGGTTGCTGGGTCGAGCACGACACCAACATCCCCAGCGGCGAGTCCCTGATCCGGCAGTTCCTCTTCGGGCAGCGGTTTTTCGAGAGTAACTTTGGCCGGCGCTCGACGACGTGTTGGCTGCCGGATACGTTTGGCCAGTCGAGCCAGATGCCGCAGCTGTGTCGGCAGGCGGGGATGAATCGGTTCCTGACGCAGAAGATTTGTTTTAATAATATGAATGAGTTTCCTCATACTACATTTAACTGGTATGTTGCCATGCTTTGGGGTTTAGTATGGAGGCGAGGTTAGTGGGAGAAGAGTGTTTTGATGCTGATGTTTGTCTTTTAGGGTCGCTCTTGATGGGAGCCAGGTTATTTGTCACATGCCACCTGCAAAGACGTACTGCGCCAACGCGACGTTTGGGGATGTGAAGCGTAGTATGACGCAGCATAAGTCTCTGGACCAAGACCACACCTCTCTCCTGGTGGTAAGTTACCATCCTCCGTAGAAAAGTCCTTCTCACAACAAGTCTCTCAAATTTTCTAACCTAAGCAATTCCACAGTTTGGCAAAGGCGACGGCGGAGGCGGCCCAACCCGTCCCCAACTAGAATCCCTCCGCCGCCTCCGTGGCCTCGCCGACACGACAGGTCTCCTCCCTCGCGTCCACTCCGGCGGCACCCCGGACGACTTCTTCGACCGTCTCGAGAAGAAGGCACATACCTTCCCCACATGGCACGGCGAGTTGTACTTTGAGCTGCACAGGGGTGTATACACCACGCAGGCGCAGACAAAGCTGAATAACAGACGGGCCGAGATTGTACTCCGTGATGTGGAGCTGTTGGCAACGATTGCGTCGGTGGAGGATCGGGGGTATAGGTACCCTAAAAAGAAGATTGATGAGATGTGGGAGGGGGTGCTGCTTTGTCAGTTTCATGATTGTCTTCCTGGGACTGCTATTGGGATGTGTTATGATGATTCTGAGAAGGTGAGTTGGGTATTCTTGAGTTGTAGGCGGATGATTGGCTTACGAGTGGGTTCTTTGCGTCTAGGTCTATGCGAATGTCTTCAGCATCGGAAACACGCTTTTGAAAAGCATCTACAGCGTTCTCAAGATCAACGATAACATCGAAAACCCCACTGGAACAGAGAAGCTAGTAGCTCTCAACACCCTAGGATGGCCTCGAAAGGAAGTCATCACCACCACCAACGGCAAAGACCTCATCGCCCAGGGAACCGGAACCATCATCACCACCCGCGAAATAACCCCATCCGAAACAACCAAACCCCTCGTCACAGTCAAAGAAGTCTCCCAGGGCATCTTCGTCCTCGAAAACAGCCACTTCACAGTCACCGTCGAAAACGGCACCATCACCTCCCTCCTCGACCGCCGCGCCGCCAACCGCGAGGTTCTGGCGCTGGGCGGCAGGGCGAATCACTTTGTCATCTTTGACGATAAGCCGATTTACTGGCAGGCGTGGGACGTGGAGGTCTTTCACCTCGAGACGCGGGAGGAGGTGCGCGGCGGGGGGACGGCTGTGCTGGAGGAGTCGGCGTTGCGGGTGAGTGTTGTTACGGAGACGAGGATTAGCGAGGTTAGTTCTGTGAGGAGCGTTGTTAGTCTTGCTGCGGTGGTTGAGGGGGATGAGGGCGGTGCGGGCGGTGCGGGCGTGGGCGTGGAGTGCACTGCTGAAGTCGACTGGCATGAGACGATGAAGTTTCTCAAGGTTGAGTTCCCGGTTGATGTAAGGCATCACGAGGCGTCGTATGATACGCAGTTTGGGGTTATTCGGCGACCGACGCACTACAACACATCGTAAGTCACCACCCCCTTTCAGAGCCACAATGTACTACTGAGATGTGGTAACCAACACGGGGGAATGTAGCTGGGACATGGCCAAGTTCGAGGTATGCTGCCACAAGTACGCAGACCTCTCGGAGTACGGGTACGGCGTGTCGATCCTCAACGACAGCAAATACGGCTTCGCGACGGTCGGCAACACGATGCGGCTGTCCCTCCTGCGATCGTCCAAGGCGCCAGATGATGAGGCGGACATGGGGAAGCACACGATCCGGTGGGCGATTTTGCCTCATCGGGGTCCGTTGGGGCCGGAGACTGTGAGGGCGGCGTATGAGTTTAATAACCCGCTCAAGGTCGTCTCTGCGGTCGGGGATTCTCCGTTGTGGAATGTGGGAGATGGGGACGGTGCTGCTGGAAGCTTCCCGGTTGGGTTGACGGGGGACGAGAATTTGGTGCTGGATACAATTAAGCGCGGTGAGGATGATGTGGACGTTGGGGATGGTGAGTTGCCTGTTCGTCCTGGGCGGAGCGTGATTGTGCGTGTGTATGAGAGTTTGGGAGGACGTGGACGGGGGAGGGTGGTGACGAGGTGGGAGGTGAAGAGGGTGTACAAGACGAATTTGCTCGAGGACGACGAGGACGACGAGGACGAGGTTCGTGTTGAGGACGGCGGGTTCGAAGTTGACCTTGGGCCGTTTCAATTGCAGACGTATCGGCTTGAGTTGGCAGATTAGATGAGCCTTTGATGCGGTGATGATATTCTTTGGGAGAATAGACTTGGTTTCCTGTGATCTGGGGGCATTCCTTAACCTAAACACATTCAGCAGGACATTTGTCGTCCTCATGGCCTCTGCATGGAGGTCTCCAAGGCGAACAGCCTTTCGTTGAATGACCAAGGCAAGGTCAGTGAGGGACATCAATAGTGATGCATATCTTTTCGATCAAGATTTGTCCAGCGTTGGTGACACAATCGCAGCCCCAATTACAGCTGGCCGGTACGTCCCCTGACCCGACTGACTGCATAGCAGCGGCGCGGAGTAAGAAAGAAACCCCACCTACCTTATCCGTAATGGAAGGCCCAAAGAAGCTTATGCCAAGAAGGTGCAAGGGGAGCAAACATTCAACACCTACTTGCATGTTTGCTGGGTACACCGTACGGCGCAGTGTGCAGATGGAGTTGAAACAAGGCGTGGGAGGCGTCGCTGCCGTGTTTGCTTGTCACACGGCTTGTCACACGGCTTGTGTCGGGTGTGTGCATGGTGCACCCGGGCCCGGCCCGGACCCGAAGCCGTGGACGCGGGTTATCGTCCGAGGGGCCATGCCGTGTCACGTCCACATCCCCCCTCCCCGGGATTGACAGCAGGACGCGGTAGGTGCTTGAAGAATTCGGTCGAGGGTTGTTTGTGAATTGAGGGGCCTTTAATTTTGGATGCGATTTTAGGATTGTGGCAAAGGACACTCGTTATCGTCGCATTGCACTATTGGAAATGTAGTCGTTGACAACTTGAACTGACCAGCCGTAACGAACAGCATGACCCCCAGCACCCACCAGCAGGTAATCGTTAGGTGTCCAGCGGTGGAACAGGGTGCCCGGGGGTTGGATGTGATTGGTGCTACGCCGCATGCGTGGGCTCATTCTTGCATCTTCTTTCCATGGCAGCGGGCGGGTTGGCTCTCTCAGGGGGCAGAGGCCCTCCACTGGGTACTGAGGTGCGAGAATACGGCGAGATTGTAGGTACTCGGTACCCTGCCCTGGTTCCAACAGAGTTCCAGTAGCAACCAACAGGTGGGGGGGTTTCCTTCGTTTAGTCAGCGGGGAGTTCTTCAGGTCGCTGTTTTTTCCCCAGTTTGGCCGCGACAAAAGAAAAAAAAAGAGAGAGAGTGAAAGTGAGAGTGTGAGAGAGAGTGAGAGAGTGAGAGTGAGAGTGAGAGTGAGAGTGAGAGTGAGAGTGAGAGTGAGAGTGAGAGTGAGAGTGAGAGTGAGAGTGAGAGTGAGAGTGAGAGTGAGAGTGAGAGTGAGAGTGAGAGTGAGAGTGAGAGTGAGAGTGAGAGTGAGAGATAGAGAGAGAGAGAGAGAGAGAGTGTGTGTGTGTGTGTGTGTGAGAGAGTGAGAGTGAGAGATAGAGAGAGAGAGAGAGAGAGCCTGCGCAGAGTCCAGAGGAGTCCACCCAACAGACCGATGGGGGGAGATCCTGAAGGCTGATGAAAGGGAGAGTGGAGGGGAAGAGGGGAGATTCCCGGCCGTTTGGAGAGACTGGACGGATTTAGAGAGAACTCCGGGAACCGCGTGATTAAAAAAGCCAAAGCTTCCCCGACGACATTCCTCACCAATCCAATCATCAACCTTGAGCAAATTCATCGTCAGCTCATTATAGCATCGTCGGTGAAGTCGGTGCATCTGCTCGCTTTTCTCTTCCGACTTCCGAATTCTACCCTACTGCACTCCCTCAGTCTTTGCTCGCGGCCAACAGCTCACGGGAGGGCCCGTACAATGTCCGGCCAGGTGTTTGCGAATGAAGCGACCGCCGCCTCGCCCGCACATGCGTCGGAGGAGCCTCGCAGCAACGACACGACCACAATATGCATCGACCCGCAGAGCAGCACCAGTGACCCCGTCCGCATTGACCCTCTTCTGCCTGCCGAGGACGTCGGGGTGGTCGTCGACGACGTTACGGAGAATGCAGAGTCCTCTGACTATGCAGCATCCTTCGTGGACGACCTTGACATGTTTCCAGGCGACGACGACGACGACGACGAGGTGCCACCCGGCCCCGCACCCCTTCTCGCGCTCATTCTTGACACAGAGACGGAGACGGAGACGGAGACTGCGCCGGGTGACATGCAAAACTTTGACGACGCCGACGTGGCTGTCTACGCCGCGGCTGACCGGCTTTCCCTCGACACGGCTGAGGACGAGGCCACGGGTGCCCAGACGACGAATGATGCTGACAGCCTAATGACGGGTACTGAAAATCAATCCATCATCACACTTGACGCTCCCGTATGTACCAAATCTTGTCCCTCGCTACATGCCGGTCTACCTCCAGACACACATACACCCTAACTCACAATCATTAACGCCTTCCAGTCGTCCCCGCGTGATGAACGAGTTCCGTCGACGAGAACTATCATGACGGAGGATCTCCGGCTCGCTTTTCAGAAGCGTTTTGGCCGCACATACCCATCAAGAGGTAAGCACATGATCAAAAGAGTGTCTGTCCATGAGAATGCCCCCAATACTGACTCCAGTCTACCAGACTACATCCTGCCCAACGATTGGGTAAGTCCCTCACCTTTAACCTGCATGTGATGTGTCTGCCTCTACGTAGTGCCTTTGGCTTACCACGGCTCTCTTTTCGGGGGGCCTGTGAACAGGATGAGTGTATCCGTCTAGGTATGTACACGTAGACTCGCTCCCATGGCGTTGCCGTCCCTCCAAAGAGGTGCCTTTTCTAATAATCGCGCCTCCTCTACAGCTATCCAACATCATCTCTGGCTTTACACGTACAACAAACGCCTTGCCAATTCTCCTAAAAGGGAGCGTGCGGCGCGCGTGCTCGACTGTGGAACTGGCACAGGTCACTGGGCCTCGGATTTCGGTGAGGACCCCCCCTCTCTGTCTCTCTCTCTCGCTTCAACCCGTGATGGAGTCTTTACGCCTCGACTAACCAGTTTGCAGCTGACGATCACCCGGAAGCTATTGTAAGGCCTACCTAACCCACACTACACCACCACCGCCGCCACCACGACCTTCCTCTTGCACAAGTGGCTCGGGTGAGCTTGTTTGACTGCTTGCTAACAATGAGACTAAGGTCATTGGCGTGGACCTAAGCCCTATACAGCTGAATGCGTGAGTCTACACACCTATGTACCTTGCATAATCTTCTGGCGTGGGGGCTCTAGCTCCAGAATGAATGCCTGGCTAAACGTCGTTGTCTCCAGTGTGCCCCCCAATCTCTTTTACGAAATCTACGACCTGGAGCAGCCTTGGCCGTGGAGGGAACCCTTCGACTTCATCTTCTTCCGCCACATGAACACCGCCTTTGCCGACTGGGTTGAAATCTTTGAAAAGGCTCTCGGGTAAGGACTGGACTCTCTCACCAGCTCATTCACACATATCCCTTCATGACGATGGGCTGACACTGACTGACACACAAATACAGCCACCTCGAGCCCGGCGGCTACATTGAACTCCAAGACAACTCCTTCCCCATCATGTGCGACGACGACACCATGCCCCCCAACAGCGCCATCGCGCGGTGGTCGACCCTCCTTATGGAGGCCACGGAGCTCATGGGCCGCCCCTGCAACGCCCCCTCGAGCTTCAAGCAGCTGCTCGACCTGGCCGGCTTTGAGGCTATCATCGAGGAGAAGACGATCTGGCCCATTGGGCCCTGGAACGCCGGCAACAACCACCCCCGCGACAGGGAGATTGGCGTCTGGTGTCGCGAGAACTGCCTCGAGGCGCTCGAAGCGTCGACGATGCATCTCTTTACGCAGTTTTTGCACTGGTCCGAGGAGGACACGCGCGACTTTTGCGACGAGGTCGAGAGGGAGATTTGCGGGGGTGGTGTTCATGCTTATTTTACCGTGTAAGTGGCAGCTTGTGGCCCTCTGTGCAGTGCTCGCGCGAAACTTGGACTGACGGTTATTGCAGATACTGTGTATATGGGAGGAAACCCTACGCCTGAGACTGGATGGGGAGAGAAGGGCTGGGAGAGGAAGAGGAGGAGGAGGAGGATGTGCAATTTTGTTTTGAATTAGATCTAGTCATGATACCCTTGGGATACGGATTACTGTAGGCTCTTTTGTCTTTTGCGCGGCGCTGGGGGGGGGGATAGGAGGTAAAATCTGGTACTAGGAGAGATCAACGGGGACTCAGCAAACTCCACAGCCGCGCCGCAAGCTACCTTATATGCGGGCCAGGGGAACGGGACGTTCACCCCTCCGTCCCTTGTCTTTGTGACCCAGGTACCTACATACAGATACCTACTTTACATGAGCCCGTAAAGAAGCTCCAACGAAAGAAAGATGACCACCTAATATCACCTCCCCCATTCGATAGGATCCGATGCCGATGGAATCCATAGCGCTAAACGGGACGCTAAATCATCTTTGCACGCTTTGCTGGATGGGATACTGGTCCCCACCACCACCCAGTCGAATCCCGCTGCGGCCAGGAGAAGCGTGGCACATCGGTTCCCCGCCAGCGAACAGCGTGCGACTGCGCGCGACGGCCCAATCATGGCCGGGGATGTCAGTTTTTTGCCTGCAGAAGAGCAGAATCCGCACACACGCAGATGAGCGGAGCCCGCCCTGCTCCCCCCGTTGACGATTGAGAGGAGAGGTAGGATTTTGTGTTGGTCCTGTTGGCGCGTAATAAGGTACTAGGGGGCTGCTAAGGGTGCCAAAAGTGAGCCGAGATAGTCGCATAGTGGGATTCAAGCAGGGGGGGTGGTGGGAAGATGGAGAGAGGGATGCGATGGGGCGATGGGATAAGGACAAGGTAGAGACGGGGGGGGGGGGGGGGGGGGGGGGGGGGGGGGGGGATTTAAACAACGCTGGATCGCTTCCTTTCTCCCCCCCCCCCCCCCCCCCCCCCCTTCCCTCGATTCCTTTCTTTAGTGTGCTTTTATTCCGTACCATTTCTCTAAATACGGACTGAAATCGTTACCCTTTTTCGGTTGTCCATTTTCTTCAACGCCCTTGGTTCCATCGTTCCCACCCCCGCGCGCGAGAGATCAACGTTTAGTAGGATGGCTGACGCAGATCAAGCTCCCGCTGCTCAGCAGCACGCCAAGCCCAAGCTGCCCGACGAGATCATCGTGAGTTTTTCGTTGTTGTCTTCTTTTCCCTTCTCCCTTCCTACCGTACCGCCGACGATCAATAGCTCCTGGTTGGCGAATTATCCCAACAAATCATCGGGTTTTTTCTTTCAAAATAAAAACGGGTTTACATTCACAAAGTGGAAAAGAAACCTGACAAACCACCTCGTTCCCTTCTTGACAGGAACCACAAGACCCCGAATCAGATGCATCTTCGACCAGCGGCACAGTAAGTTTCCCATCCCCACTTGGAATGAATCTGTGCCACAAACTCGCACGCAGCCCCCCTGGTGTGTGTGTTTTCTTATCCTTTAGTTTCGCTGACTGACAAATACTTTGCTCTTCCTCTTGGTGTAGTCCGTCCACACTGATACAGACACTCTGAGAACGAGTATCCGTGACTACCGTAGAGAAAACGGCCGCACGTATCACAGTCTCAGCGATGGAAGTGAGTCTTTCTTTTTTTTTTCCCTCCCTCTCAGAATTTTATCCATGATTCAGTTTTCCTTTTTTGATATTTTTCAATCAAATCTCAGCTGACAAACATGATGTAGCATACATCCTACCAAACGATGCCGTGAGTTCTCTCTTGAAATAGAATTGATTGGCTCGCTCCCCTTTTGCGTTTTGGGGAAAATCTGACTTTCTTTTTACTTTTTCCATCTTTAGAGGGAACAAGACCGTTTGGGTGAGTCATTCCTTTCATCATAGCCTGATCTAGGTTCTCTCGCCAGTCGTGCAACTTGTAGCTAAATGTGTTTTCTGTCGATGAAGACTTCCAGCATCACTTTTGGACGCTGACGTGGGATGGGAAACTCTGCATGTGTCCCAAGAATGAGGGAGCCAACCGTGTCTTGGACGTTGGAACCGGAACGGGTATCTGGGCTGAGGAATATGGTTAGTTCTCCCCCCTTCTTTTCCGTTGCTTCTCGAGGCGGCCACAACCCTCTCTCCATTCCCAGAACAAGATTTCAACTAACAATGTTTGACAGCGGATAAACACACAGAAGCAGTGGTAACACCATCGCCCCTCCCATCCCCCCTCGCTGATTTGATGACGAGTAATGGCCTGGTAATAACATCCAATGTCAACCCAAATAGGTCGTTGGCGTCGACTTGAGTCCCATTCAGCCTGAATTGTGAGTAATCCCTGGTGGCAAGCAAAGCTTCTCCTGTCCTTGCTGGGCGTGTGGTCTTGTCGGGGGCAACAGGGTTAGCTGATGCATCCCTGTCTTTGTCTAGTGCTCCGCCGAATTGCAAGTTTGAAGTCGACGATGTGGAGAAGGAGTGGACGTGGCAAGAGCCGTTTGACTTTATCTTTGCGAGGCACATGAACGCCTGCTTCGAAAGTTGGGAGCGGTTTCTCCGTCGTGCTTACGAGTACGTAAACTCCTCCCCCCCCCTTCATCTCCTTCGATTTTTCACATTATGGCTGTACAAACCCCCTCAGACACCAGCGGTTTTCTCTTCTTCTTCTTCTTCTTCTAACAACCAACCCCCCTCTCAGCGCCCTAGAACCAGGCGGCTTCATCGAGCTCCAAGACAACGCCTTCCCCATCCTCTGCCAAGACGGTACCCTCAAGCCCGACGACCCGATGGCGCGCTGGTCGACCCTCATGATGGAGGGCACCGAGCTCATCGGCCGCCCCATCACCGTCCCCGCGCGCTTCCGCTCCCTGCTCAGCGAGGCCGGCTTCGTCGACGTGGTGGAGCACAAGCGCGTGTGGCCGACGAGCCCCTGGCCCCTGAACCCGGAGCTGCGGGAGCTCGGCGTCTGGGGCCAGGCGTGTAGCCTCGAAGGGATCGAGCCGGGTGCCATGGCGCTGTTTACGCGCGTGCTGGGGTGGACGAGGGAGGAGGTTGTTGTATTTATGGCGGGTGTGAGGAATGATTTTAAGAATGCTGGTATTCATGGGTTTTGGAATGTGTGAGTTTTTTCTCTTCTTCTGTTTTCTTTTTTGTGGTGGGGGGTCCTCCTTTTCTACCCTGCTTACCGCTGGATGTTTGTGTCTGTGGAAGATGAGAGCTAATCTTTTATCTTAGGTACTCCGTGTACGGAATGAAGCCTTATGATAAACCCGGCCAGGAGTAAAGTAGCTATCTAGACTCTCAGGAACCGGTGAACTCAGACAAGTTCTTCTTGGGTGGTTCGATGTAAAAGTCAGCCAGTCTCGTGATGGAGACTTTCACAGCCTAATATTTGTACACACACACACACACACCCACACACGCATGTGATGAATTACTTAGACTGTATATTTAATAAAGTACATTGAACAAAAATCTCAAAGACAACAATAACAAACACGATGGCTGTGAATCTCCTTCTCCAAAGTCAGCGGTTCCTCCCCATAACCTCCCTTTTGCCCTTAACTGAAAGCCATAAACCCATGGAATTCCACTATAATCGAACCCCCGAGGGCCCAACCTCCCGCCAAATCAAATCGCTCGCGAAAGACATCAGAGACCAATGCTGCGAACCAAGCATTTATCTTCCTCGTCGGATACCCACACGGAGGAGACCCAAAGATAGAAACGCGCTAACATTGAAGCCATCACTCTTTCTTGGCTTTTGTCACCAATCTCGTTCCTGCAGGTTTTCTGACTTGCCTCCAAGTCTTCATTTTTATAAGAAAAAGACACGAGCCATGCAGAGGAAGCTAAGCAATACGAACATGTCAGTTTCGTCGCGGGAACTTTGAGAGCCTCTTTGAGTCGTCGACTGTCGAGGCGACAGAAGCAAGCGTGTAATGGATACGAACTGTGTGGACGCCACTTTGTTTCAGCAAGCAAGGCCTCGGTAAGTCAAACCCCCCACTTCCTGGCACCCCCCTGTTTCTGGCACCACAAAAACGATGGGATCACAACCCGACCTCCTCATTACTATTAACTATTGATCCTCAACCACACCCACTACAATACAGCTGCCAGCCTCACTAGGGCATTCAGAGTCGCTGGATTCAGCCGTGATAACCTCCTTTTCACCCGCTTCGATTTGAGCCCGATGGATATCCCTGATGTTCGCGAACTTCGTGTTGGGATCGATTTGAACAGTCTTCCTCTTCCTCACTGCAGCGTTGGTAACTTGAGCCCTCAGGTGAGCTAGTTGCTGCTGGGCAGCTGCCAGTTGCCAGGCCTGCTCTGTGAAGCCTTTTTTCACCTTCCTGAATAGCAGCCGTTGAGTGCTGGTATCATTGTCGAGTTGGGTGTATAAGTGCAGTTGACCGCTGAGCTCTGCCAGCTTCCTGGGTGTCGACCAGACCACTGCAGAGGAGGCAGAATCCCATGGCTCAACAGGGGTAGTTTGTTGACCATTATGGCATCGCTTTCTGCCCTGACTAGTTGGTTTGGGTGTGGTGGGCTTAGCAGGAGGCTCAGGTAGTACCATAGGGTTCATCAGGGGCTTAACCATCGCCACAGGGTGTAGACCAGTCCACTTCCAACCACTTCTGATGTTCGAGACTGATAGACCAGCAAGTCGAGCCTTCTGGTAACAGTCCAGGAAGTTCCTTTTACCTATAGTGGTAGAGTCGTTCCATTGAGACAAGTAACCGAGCTCCTTCCGATAGGCTGACTTAACAGGGCTGAAGACAGACTGGTCAAGAGGCTGGAGGACATGAGAGGAGTGTGGTGGTAAGAACAGTAAATGGATATTGTTAATATAGCAATTCCACATGAAGTCTGTCGTCGTATGACTCCCATGCCCATCCACAATCAGCAGTCGAGCCTCCCCCTCAGCCTCAGGCATAGTCTGTGGGATGAACACCTTCTCTAACCATTCAATGGCAGTTAAGTCTGTAGTCCAGCCATTATCTGTTGCTGTGAACTCCCACCCATCGTATGGAACGAGATGTAATGGAAACCACTGCTGTTGGACTGTCTTCCCCTTGAAAATGATAAGAGGACGAAGTGCCCTACCCAAGGCTGAGATACACTCAATGATAGAGACCCATGCCCTCGACCCAGGTTGTTTCTTGCGAACAGACGTCGTCTCAGCCATACCCAGCACTAACCCATTAGCTCCCTGACCCTCGAGGATGCCAGTCTCATCCATATTATATCTGTTGGCTGGTTTGATGTCCTTGATCTCAGGGATAGCGAGGAACTTAAACCAGTTCCTAATGACCTCAGTAGATGCCCCACTAACGCGTCTAGAATCGATAGAACGACTTCTCTGAACCTTAATGATAGGGTTCCTTCTCACAAAGGCATAGATCCAGCCTTTTCCCAGTGGTTTGGTATCCCCAGCAGCAGCCAGAACTCGCTCTGCGAATTCCTTCACCTGTTGGTGCGTTGGTGCGAGGCCCAGCGAAGCCTGAATGCGAACCCATTGTGCCAGCTTACTCTCCTGGTCAGGAGACAGCCTCTGCCAGTCAGCAAAAGCCACTTTCCTAGTCTGACCACCTTGGAGACGTAGTTGGAGGGTTGATCGTGGTATCCCATACTCCAATGAGGCTCTCTTTTGACTCTTGCCGTTTGAGATGTCCTCGAGAGCCTGACGAAGCTGATCTTCGGTACATTGAGGCATTAGATATAGAAGAAGGTATGTGCAAAAGATGAGCCCATTTGGACGCGAATTGAAAATGTTGTGATAAAAGGAGGTTGGGGGTGGGCATTGGGTTGTGGTGGATTTTCGCGTTTTTGTGGGTGCCAGAAACAGGGGGGTGCCAGGAAGTGGGGGGTTTGACTTATTCATTGTCCGTGAGTCGAACGTCAAGTCAAGCAAAGTCGATTGTCCTATTCAATGGAAGCGTTTGCTTAATTGAGTATCTTGCCATCTCATGCGACCCCCATTCCCTATGCCTGCGACTGCGGTGCTTGAGAGTTGGTCTTCGTCGGTGGAGGTTGTTGTTGATTGTGCTGGGGATGAGTCTGGGGTTGCTGTTGCTGATGCTGATGCCAGTGACAGGGCTGTTGTAGTGGCTGATGGTGTTTGTTGGTTCACGGGGTCGTATACGACAAATAGTGGTAGCAATTATCACTCGTCTGTTGGTGATCCTATTGCTTGTTCTTCTTGTTGTTGTTCTATCTTACATTGTAGGCAGGAGTCGGTCGAAGTAGGTAGTGACGGCCTGGGTGGTTGCCCCACCTTTATCCGGCCGTGATGACTAAGCCAGTTGTCCCACTTCGCCCAGGGCAGGTGCCAGCCAGCCCATGGTACCTGCCTATTACTCCTTATCAGCCTTTGCTGTTCCAACAGTGTTGTTGTTGTTGATGATGATGTTGATGTTGACGTGCTATCGGGCTCGGTGATGTTGAAGTAGTGAGATGTCGCGCTGCTGCCCGACTGCCCTGTCTTGAAGAACTGGAGGAAGTAGACCTGGCCCAGGTCCGGGTTCATCGTTGAAGGGAAACCGGCATAGCCTACCGTTCATGCTAGGCTTTTTGCTGTAGAATTGGCTTTGCAATGGTGTCAGGCGCAATCTCTGAGGTGTAATCCTATCCCATCGGGTGCGGAATAGCTCCATTTTTGCCAAGCCCCAAAATACCCATTATTACCCATTATTACCCCGCATTTAAAGGGGTACTTGACGATACGTCACTTCTCCCTATGCTCTGTTACCTATTATCACCACTATTACTACCATTTTGATTGATGCTGCGATGTCTTCTAGTAATTCTAATACCTCTATTGCTTCTATACGCAGCTGTATAGTAGTTAAGGTCCTTCCAGAAGACCTTACTGCTGCCTGTAATACAGACTGTACGGCCGAGCGCTATAATGCCGCTACGGTCCGGCCCTACGAACCTCTGGCTACTAAGCACGGCCCTCCGGGTTCCTTCTAGCCCTTTAACGTACCGGCCCGGGCCCAAGAGGTACGGGGGCTGCCGGCAAGCCCGCTTGAATTATTCCTCCAATACGTTCCGCAGAGCCTCGTAGAGCAGTAGGCATAATAGACGAATATAGTACCGTTATCTAAAGAGGGCCCTAGGGCTAGACGAGCTAGGATATATGAGTAAAGGAAAACTTCAGCAGACGAGATTTATCTCTTCTTAGGGATCCTATTATATATAGGGATCTATAAGGAACCTAGATTATCAACCTACTGGTCGACCTAGTAGGAAAAGGAGGATCCTATCTACCTATTTACATAGTTCATATCCCGGGACCGTTTTCAACTACTGCTCCGACGACTACGGATATTCGATACTGCGGAATTCCAGCCCGGGCAGTGCGGGCAGCCCAGCCGCAGCCGGGGCCGGGGCCGGGGCCAGGCCCAAGATCAAATGCCAGATGTATATCGGAAGGTTAACTAATAGTTAGCCCATATTCAAGAGACTGGGGATTTCCTTTATATACCCGGTTTAGACCTTATAGTTGACGAGGCTATGGTCCGATTTATAGGTCGATCTCTTGAGACGATAACGATTCCAACGAAACCTACCCCAACTGGCTATAAGATCTGGATCCTTGCCCAGTCTGGCTACTGTATACGGTGGCTGTGGTACGTACATGGGAAGGGCCCATACGCATTAGTCCCCCAGGCACAGCCAGCCCAGCCAGCCTGTTCAACCCAGCCCGCCCGGGGTCGGCTAGGCCAGCCGGGACAGCTGCTGGAAAGCTGGCTCTATTAACACCAACGCAGCAGGTAGTAACTACTCTTGTTTCCCTACTACTAGCTGTAACCTACTACGTATTTCTTAATAACCTCTTTACGTCTATACGTCTCTTTCGTACCCTACGCAATCAACAAGTTAGAGCTTCTGGTACCTGCCGGAAGGATAGTGGGATAGATAAGATCTCAGTTGCCGAGAAAGAGACTGAAGGACGGGGTATCCCCTAGGGGGAAATACACTATATCCCTACTTTAGATGGGGAGGTAAGCTACTAGCCTGCCCAGCCCTGCCCAGCCCAGCTAACTAGGAATTAGGTCAATTAATTCACCTAGAAGGATAATGCCCTCGTACTCTTCCTGTTAACTGTCTTCCAGGACGGCCAGGAACTTATTTATAGCCGCCGCCGCCCAACTAGAGACACTGCTGCTAAAAAGACTGCCCGGCAAGTCTTTGGCCCAGACGTCCGTAAGGACCTTCCAGTCCCTAGGGCAATCGATGAGTATAATCATAAGATGAATGGGGTTAATATGAGTGACCAGATGAGGTCTTACTATCAATATAGCTACCCTATTCGACGAGGAGGCTGGTAGTTAATTACTTGGAATTTCCTGCTGGAAGTGGTAGTTGTGAATAGTTTCTTACTATAGCTTTGGGGTAGCCCTAGGTGGTAAAAGGTGAAGACCTATTATTAAAAGCGGTAGTTGCTTGTAGCCCAGCTTATCTAGCAGTTTGGACCATTAGTAGGGGGGCGGAAGCATTCACGACTTAGACGTGCAACAGATAAAAGGAATACTTCTATTCCATAGGAATACTATAGGAAGGGATCAAGGGGAGCTAACTCACTTTGTTCCTACTGTAGTAATAGGGGGGGCATTAAGGGCCCGACGCTAGACCCTAGGTATAATATCTAGGAATAGCCTTATATAGAAGAAAAGGACGCGGAAGGGCTACTTAGACTACAATGTAGCTCTTTGTATTAAGGGAGACTGCTGGTACTTGTGGCTAACCAAAATCTATAGGTGATAGAGGTACTTTTACTCTATTGGTTAGCTTGATTAATATAGAAGCCCTTATTGGCTCTACCCCGCCCTTGGCAAAAATGGAGCTATTCCGCACCCGATGGGATAGCAGGGAACTTACATGCGAGCTTGGCATAGGGCCCCTTGATATTCCCTGTTGGCTGCTGCTGCCACAAGATCAGGTCGATGTTCTTGAGGTCCATCTCCCACTGCAGATCAATGTTGTCGCCGAGGGTGTAGACGGGGTTATCCCGGAAGTCTCCCGCCGGACCCGGGCCCGATGGCCGGCGGAAGCGGTTCTCTGAGCGCGCGCATGCTGGGAAGACGACGCCGAAAAGCAATACTGCGAGTATGTGCATCGCGAATTTAAGTGGCGATTATCCAGTGATATCCTTGTCGTCTATATCCAAGTGAATAGATTGAATGGAGACTGGGCAATCGAGGAAAGGCGAAGCCATCTCTGCCATGGGTCGCAACGAAGGGGGCACTTTGTGTTTTTGCTCGATTCGATCCTTCCATTGCAAAACGGTTGCCCTGCACCCCACCTCGACTGTGCGCGATGGAGGGATGAGGTTCTCATTTTAAACGTCCTAGCGATGGATCTAGTCAGCGTTGACCTAAACAGTAGTGCCGTTTGGGAGAGTCGAAAGATTGTAGTATTGCGATGCATCAACAGACTCACCAGGCCCAGCCAGTGGCCATGAATCAAGCCTTTTCGCATCACAAAAGAGTGTGGATTGAACACCAAAGGTCATAATAAACAGAAATATGTGACCTTATTGGTCAAGGATGCAAAAAATAACTCCTCGACGGGGAATTGAACCCCGGTCCCCTGCGAATTATTGATGTTTTCAATGACAAGCAGATATCCTCACCACTAGACTATCGGGGATTGGTGGATGTTCTCATCCAGTGATAGTTGGTTGGGAAGTGCGGCCGCAAGCGGCTTTATATACCTCTGATAGAGACTAGTGCCCCATCGCCACTCCTTTTCGCGCCCATACCATATGGATCTCCCAGAGGTCTGTCTGTAAGATGAAAATGATTCCCAATTCTGTCCTTCAAATAATTTGATTGATTAGGCATTCATCACCACGGGCGAATGGCCCGTTGCTTTGCAATAGGTCGCACCATCCCACCCTCAATGCACCGCCGAACCCTACCCCATTCTATCCCATTGACTACCGGATGGCGTCATTACATCCGTCTCTAGTCTTTCTCTAACTTTACTCTATTTCGAGATTATTCATAGGCGGATATAAGGGAAATAAGATCGGATTATTAGATTATTTGCTATTCCCTTCATTAAAGTACGTACCTTGTACTGACGCCATCTAGCAGTTGATGAGATGGGCTGTTCCCCTCAATCGCCCCTCCTGAAGCGACATCTCTCCTTCTCATGTGTATCTCGATACCACTTCGTCGTCAAGACCTTCGTGCAAGATTCGTTCCTGCACGGATACCTCTGTCTCTTCTCGCGATTAAACGAGCACCCCTCGCGAAGGTGTTTGTTGCGGTTGCTAACGCTCGAGAACGTTTTGGTGCATTGCGGCGTCAGACACTGTAGTCTGTCGCCTCGGTTTCGGTGGTCGCGCGGCGTCGAGCGAGATGTCGTCGAACCAGCGGCGCTTCCGATGCTGCTGTGGACGGGGTGAGCGCGACTCAATTGAGGCACACGGAGTGGGCTGCGTCTTACCTGATGCTCGAAGAAGATATGTTCCGCCGAAAGCCAAGCGTGCTGAGGGAAGAGAAGCTACTGGATGGGGTGATGCATGCATCTGATCCGGGCGCTGGTGATTGTACTGTGAAGGGTGGGACAGAAAGCTGGCCAGCAGCTTGGCTGAGTTGAACCGAGATGCCATGCATCACGAGATACTCTGTGATTAAAGCACAGCAGCGGAAATACCCAGAAAGGGTGGCAGTGAAAGTTTCGGTGATCGCGTTTGTCGATCCAGAGTGCAAGCCTGAAGGAATGTCAGCATGCGAGCCTTGAGCAAGGGCGGCGTTACACTTACCGAAGATCAATGCGAGCACTATGGAGAAAGCCACAGAGAAGAGGAGTAGCATCGTGGTAGACGAGAGATCGTCCTCCCAGCCTCCATCAAATGATGATGAAGGGGCCGGCAGTCTGGAGGTAGGTTCTTCAAAGTGTTCCATATGGAGAAAGTCCGCCCACACGAGATCATCGCGTTGGGTCGATGAGCCGGCATAGGAGCTTTGCCCTGACTGTGATCGGCCTGGTATCGTCTGGGCCTGACTACTTGTCACTCCTACATGAGCTTCTTGGTTCTCGAACGCTCTCTGTATAGCCACAAGCCTGCTACCGGGGCTTGATTTTCGTGACGGGATGGACTCCTTGCGCTTCTCAAGTGAAATGAGATTGTGCGCCAGGTCTTGGAAATGCGGCAGGTGTTCTGGGTCAAAATGCGATGGCCCTTGATCTGACGGCGTGTATGCCCACATGCGAAATGCGAGGTCATCGAATAATAGGTGCGATGAGGCTGGCAGAACGGAGCGCCACCGGTCGAGGTCATCGACAAACCTATGTCAATGTTAGCTTTGGCCTGCCTAGATGCAGGACCACATCATGGTGCCTTTTGCAGCCCTTGATGAGCTGAGTTGCGAGAAAATGGCTTACTGTGAAGATAAAGAATCGTTACCTGAAAGCAACGTTAGATACGTGGCATTGGCCACGACCAGTGCGTCGAAAACCTCAACAAGCGACGATGGCGGACTGTCCTGCATCAGACCACGGAACACACCGAGGCCACGATCCCATACTGTGTTGGAATGGGAATATTCTCCAGCCATATCGCGGAGTTCTTTATGTTCCGAGCAGTCACAGGACTGGTGAAGCTGAGAGCACAAGGTATGCATGGAAGAGACCAGGTTTTGTCCTAAGAGTCGCCGGCGGTATCGAGAGCATTTGCGCCGGACGCGTTCTCTAGGAGCGTCATCCGCTCGAGCATGGCGCCGGCTAGTAGGCGCTCTGGACTGGTTGCTATCGTTGCTGCTAGCTAGGTTCGGAACACCGTTCGTCTGGCTCCCGGTGCAGTCTAGGCTGGACGAGACTCGAGGTATCGGGGCGGTGGGGATTGGTTCCATGATACTCAGATCAGCGAAACAGTCGAACGTATCATCCGGAGCGGTTGACCTTGTCATATCCATGAGCCCAAACGAGAGCATGATTTCCATAATCTCCGTGTTCTCATCCGAAACTGCTATAGCGACTGCCTCTCGCAGCCCCTCGGGCAAGGGGCCTTGCAGCAGCATCGTGCGAACAATCTCGGCCTGCCCCCAGAAGACCGCCGCAGAGAAGGGTGTCAAGACTATCTGTTCTGTGCCACCACTCATCTCGTCGTCGGCATAAACACCTAGAAAGTTTGCTCCTTGCTGTAAGAGACTTTCCACTTGCATGACGTGGCCAAGTCGTATGGCGACGTGAAGGGGATCGTTGGTTATGTCTCGTAGGAACGATCCGGACTGGCTTGTGGATTTGTCTCTTGTTCTCGACGCCAGGTCTAGAACATAACGATAGATGTCTAGTCGGCCTCTATCGAGCAAGTCGAGGAGTAAGTCGGGGTTTGTCTCCCACTCGACTTCACCGGTGCGGACAACGGGTTCGCACAGATCGTGCAAGGCAGTAAGGTCGCCAGTAAGAGCAAGCTGGGTGAACTTGGAAGCCAAGGCTTCGAGAAATGCGTCGTCCAATACATCGGGCAGAAGGCCTAGTGAAAAACAGGCGTCGAGGTCGTCCAGACCGGCATCTACGCTTCGTTGGTGCATGTCGTGAAGCTGGCCGATAGACAGTATGCCATTCGATCGGTACACTTCAGTACCAATTCCAGCAAACAGGGCTCGGTCTAGCAGTAGGTCGCGGACGAGTAGACGAAGCTCGACGGTTGTTGGGTGTGATGGTGAGATGGTCTCCAGGTGTTGTAAGTGAGACTTGAGGATTGGATAGTTTTTCAAAAGATCAGGTAGACCAAAAGGCGATGGCATAGCAATGGCAAGTGATTGCAAAAGCGTCAAGCTTTGGTATTCGATCTCTATGCTTTTGGAAAGGCGGTTTTTTGAGATGGTAAAAGCTGGCTGAGATGCCGGAGAAGCGTAGAGAGGCAGATAGACCCCCAAACCAGGCGAAACTGCTTGGAACATCTCCCCGCTGTGAGGATGAAGTGGAAGTCAGCCTGCCTGCTCTCGGGCGTGCGGAAGACGCACTCCAGATGAATAGTAGCAATAGTGCAGATGAAAATAGGACATAGTGGTAGGCCTCATTGAACAGAATTTGCTTTTAGGAACTGATGAGTAGAGCAAAGAAGGCATTCTACCTGTGGAACTTCATAATCCAAATCTTGAGACGAAAGCTCGGCGTACCTTTCGAACACTTCCGTGTAAGCAAAACAAGGTGCATCGTCGATGAAGTCATGGCTTATCGACGGCGCATTCGAGGCTACACTATTGTTGGGCCATGAGAGAGCGGCCGGGTGAGACTTAAGATTCTCATCAATGTCGGCGAGGCGGAGGTTTAGACCCAGAGATGAGAGGGACACCATCGTGACGGCCTAGGACAGCATTGGCGTCAGGCAGGGGAGGCAGAGGTTCAGGAATCGCGTTAAGCTTCTCACGCCAACTCAATGGGTGAGAAAATATCGCATAGTACAACTCGTAGATATGAGGATTGAGGCAAGACGTAAGAGAGTCCCGCCGTGAAGCTGGGAGATTTGGTGTTGATGAAGGGATGCCTGGAAGCGGCCCCGCGGTTGAGGCTGACATGGTGCTCCGGGGGGGTGTGGTGGGTCCCTTGAATTTAGGAATCGGCGGCAGGTCACGCGCGGGGCGCCGTGGAGGTTGTAACTGGGCACAGGACGCTGATTTGGAGTTGCCGGCATGCGTCGGTATGCGCGTCGAGAAACGTGATGCCGTGCAGATACGCTGCTTCAGGGTGTCGATTGCCCCTCATTTGCTGGAAAAGTAGACTGATGTTGATGACATTATCTAGTGTGCCTCGTCCTGGCTGCCTCCATCGCGACATGTTGACGTTTCCGACACCGACGTTAGGAATTGTTGCGCGCTACGAATGCATAGCATGCAGTGATGATGCATTCTAGGCAGACTTCTGCGCTATCATGCATATTTTACAACTCACGGGACAGGTTATTTGGCCAAACAGGAAGCCTTGAAGTGTTCAAACAGACAATGGCGCATCCGGTCTTGAAGACTTCAGATGATGGAGAGCCAGAGGGAAGCTTCATCCTTGAATCCACCGACGCGGGACGACGGTGAGGTGGAGACACCAGATTGGGATCCCGGTGCTTACCTAAGGCAGTCAGGGAAAAGCTGACATAATCGAGGCACTCAGAGAGCAGACCCGTGTGGCTGATTTGAACTGCCTCTCATTGGCCAACGCCGGGTTAATTGAAATGCCCCACGACGCGACTCGACGCGTCTCCCCGGCGCCAGAGTCCGCAGCAATACTCAACTTTCGTCTGCCTTCAACACCAAGCCATCCCAAGACTTCACATATTCCCATGCTCACATAACGCCAACATGTTGCGACACGACTTCAACCGGATCGACCCCAAGAGGCGCAATGTCGTCGACCATCGCAAGAAGCAGTTTGCTTCCCCTGCCTACAAGGAACTTGAATACCCCCATAGACTCAACTTTTATACCGACGCGCCAACGGCCGACATTACTCTCGAGCAGTTCGAACAATGGGCTATTGACCGGTTAAGGAGTGCGTCTACTTGTACTGCCTTTCTCTCTTGCTGCCACTAACAAGATCTTCAACTAGTCCTCGCCGAGTTGGAGGCATGCGCGTTTCGCAACAAATCGCCCCAAGAAGTCGCGAACCACATGAAGCCACTTCTCGACAAGTACCTTCCGCTCGAATCCAACACCTCGAACTCGCCGAAGCTCTTCGCTCAGCGACAAAAAGATCACTACAGCCACTTCATTCTCCGTCTAGCCTTTGCACGAACCGAAGATCTCCGCCGTCGCTTTACTCGCGTGGAGACGATGCTTTTCCGCTTGCGATTCAACAGCGACGATATGAACGAGCGGGCCGCCTTTGTCGGTAGCCTAGACCTTGACTGGTGGGAAGCAGTGACGGATGACGAGAAGCGCGAGTACTCGTCTGAGCTGGCGGCCATGTCGCGCGGCTGGGGCAAGACGGCCTCTACAGAAGACGACACTTGGTTCAAGGTCGACTGGGGCCGGGTGCCGGAACTCGTTGAGCAGCGTAAGGTGTTCTTGAAGGCAGGCAAGGCCTTTGTACCAGGGAGGGAACAGGCTAGCATGGTGAACGGAGAGTTCGTCTCACGGTTGGAGAGACAACTAGAGGTAGGCTCTCAAGATGGCTACGACTCCTGAGCAATACTGACGTTGAGCAGCTCACGGCACGCGCCCTTCCCCGACTCGACGAAGACGATCGTCTAACCCCGATCCTCGATCACCTCTCCAAGAACTTCATCACACCAGACAGCTCATACAGCTCAAACACCGCCGCTCCGCCCGGCGCCGAGATCACCGCCCGCAGCATCGACAACCTCTCACAACACTTCCCCGCCTGCATGTCGCACCTCCACCGCTCACTGCGCCGAGACGCTCACCTCAAGCATTTTGGCCGCTTGCAATACTCTCTTTTCCTCAAGGGCATCGGCCTGAACCTCGAAGAGTGCCTCGTCTTCTGGAGGCAGAGCTTCCGCAACATCACAGACGACACGTTCAACAAGGAGTACCGTTACAACGTGCGCCACGTGTACGGCGACGTCGGCGGCGACTCGAACCGTCGCGGAGGTGGCTACAGCCCGTTCAGCTGTCAGAAGATCTTGACCGAGCACCCGCCCGGCTCGGGCGAGGCCCACGGCTGCCCCTACCGTCACTTCAACTTGGAGAACCTGACCACTCTGATGCAAGGCATGGGTGTGAACGACCGAGCCACATTGCAGGGCGTAAAGGAGGATAAGGAGAAACAAAAGTTCCATATGGCGTGTAATCGGTACGTCCCCCGGCTCCGTTTCATCCCACTACCGTTTTGGCGACCTTTGACTAACATCCCTCCAGCGTTTTCGAGCATTTGCACAAGCAGGAACTCCAAAAGGCAAAGGACGAGGGCGTGTTCACGTCTGCACAACTCGAGACAATTGTCCATCCCAACGAGTACTTTAAGCGCAGCTACCTCCTCAAGAACCTCGACAAGGCGACAGACGTCAAGATGGAGGAGTGAGCGTAGCCTGTGGCTTCGCAGTAATAATAAGCACTCGTGACTCACGACAGAATAGCTCACGGCCAGCCATGGCCAGTGGTTTGAGAGTGCTCTCGAGGGACTTGGCTCAAGCAAGCGCATAGCTAAGCTTTTCTGCCACAAGGCTTGTGTTTGATAAGCTCGCCGACGGAACATACCTGGGGGCGGGAAGCGGCTGCCTGACTAACGAAGCGTGTGGCTTGATGAAAGAGACGTGTTCTACGGCGGTCTGGACCTTTTTGCCAGCAGAGCAGCAGAAAGCTGGAGGGACGGGGAGGGAGGGCGTTGGATAACGGCAGCAAATGTCTCGCGAAATTACCTTATGGCGATAAATCGGCGTTTACTTTTATTTTAATTTTATTGATGAAGGATTGCTTGCTTGGGCAGGGCTGCGAACGCGCGGGCGGGAGGGAAACTTGAGGTTGTGGTTTAGGTTCGTTTCTTGCGGAAAGTGTAGCTCAAGGACAGCAAGAAGAAAAAAAGCCATCCGAAGTATTCCTTGTTCTGAGTGAAAGGCTTGACATTTCCCACGTGTCTTGTATCTCGTTTCATAGTACGGATAGACGTGAAGCAGAAAGGAAGAAAGCCCCCCCCCCCCCCCGCAAAGGTAGCCAATGTTTCCGCCTTGGTCGGAACCGGAGACTGTCGAGACTTGTGAAGGAAGCTCCGTCGGGAACACCCATCGGTCTCGGTCTCGTTCCCGTTCCCTCGTTGGGACCAAGCTTCATTTCTTGGCTTTCTCCCTTCCCCCCATAAAGGGACAATCCTTTCTCTGTCCTCGGCTCGCTCGGTGCCACGACGGGAGTTGGGTTTCACGATCACGATCGGACTACACTAAACTTGCGGACCATACCGTGGTGGATTTGCTAGGGTGAGAAGGGCAGAGAAGGGCAGGGGATGACTAAAAAACGGGACCGTTGGTGTTTGGGTTCTGCCTTTCAACTTTCTTGAACAACGACAAAGAAAAGGTTCTAGACCTCGGCGTCGGATTGTGACAGAAAGAGACATACGGAGACCACCTAGGTCTAGATTCCTAGCCGGCTCCGCGGAGGTTCCCCTTCTACGCTACCAAAACCAGCACTTTGCCTGTCAACCTGCACGGCTACTTGGGAGGGAGCCAGGGAGAGGAAACAAGCCTTTTGCTGCGGGTTGCGAGTTTAACTGGAATAGGCTTCCTGAAGCTGGGTAAGGGTAAGTGTTGAGAAAGGGGGCGTGCGTGTGGTGCGGTCTGCCGGTCTGTCTTTCCGCCCGTCCGTCTACCACCTAATGGAAGCCCCGGATCACGAGATGCGGACTTCGCTCGAGAACCCGTGGCGTCTTGTGACAGATTTATGGTTTCTGTTGCATACGCAGTAGGAGATGTTCGATTTCTTCCGAGGGGAAGGATTTCCCCAACTCTCGATGAAGGCTAAGAGGAGTGTCAAAAGGCGCGGCCCGGGTGCTAAATTCTTTTTCGCACATACGGCTGCGCGCTTGCAGGTCTAACAGTCCGATGTGGACATTTCTCAATTTCCTTCTCGTTGCTCGGAGGCTTCAGGGAGGTGTTTGCGATGATTCTCTCTTGTCTGCGATGGCTGTCTACTGGAACGAGACGTGTGATCACCCGCTTGGACTTTGCTGCCCTTGCCTCGGATCTCCGTCTGGTCAATTGAGAATCGTGAGGCCTCCTCCCTGTAAGTCGGCAAAAATGAGAGAGATCTGATGAGCCCGGTGGATGAGACCAGACTCAGAGTCCGGGCTGGAGCTGGGCGATAGGGCTGCCACGGCCGACGGGTGGTGATATTCTGTCTGGAGACCATTTGATGAGAATTAGACACCTACGGATGCCGTAGGCCATGCTTGACTCTCGGTGACATTCCACTGTAGGTGTCTGATTACTTGGTGCGACCCCAGACACAAGTCCAACGCAGCATCGCAGCATTAAAACACACTTTCTCCTTTGCATGTGGACCGGTCCAGAACGCTGGCCTGGACCTCTGGCCCTGGTCTGGCAATGGAGCGGTCTAGACCACCAGTCTCTCTCTCTCTCTCTCTCTCTCTCTCTCCTCGACCCTCGTCAATCACCCCGGGCTGGCGAACCGTTACACGGGAACAGGAGCTTGTCTGGGCTGGGGAACGAGCTTGCTTGCTGGCTTTCCTGCCAGGGCTGTAACCTCGCTCCTCCGGGGTCCGCAACGTGAAGAAAGTGTTCGGAAACCGGTTACTGTTGTATCTTCTGCCTGTCGAGCCAAGGGGCCCCGGGCCTGGCGTGGAAAGCCGGGTTTTGACGGCGAGGGTAAGCATGATGCTCTAGAGAGGTTCATCCGCCCCCCTTCTGAAGCCGAAAAGATTCCAGACTCCTCATGTTCGCGACGCCGAGGAGGGGGTCTCGAATCCATGGTCGGGCTCATCTTTTTTTTCTTTTCTTCTGATTTCCTTTGCCGATTCTCCACCATAACCTCGACGTGGAGATCGAGCTGAAGCGTGCATTGGCGAATCTCAGTTGAGGCCAGCCAGCCAGCCAGCCAGCCAGCCAGCAGACGAAAAAGAAACAGCCCAAAGGCGGCTCTGCTCTCTTGCTGCTCTGTGCCAACGACGACAGGTCTTGAGGAGTGGGAAATGTGTCGACCGAAATCTAGACCTGGTGGTGTATATCTAGAAGCTATTCACAATGTCGGGGGGACGTGTGTTTTTTGACGGTGGTGCACTATTCTTATTCTGTATGCAATAACCCACAACACGCCTATTCCCCATCCACCATCGTGGGGTGCAGACCAAAAGCATCGTGGCCTTGGTTTCTTCCCCCCCCCCCCCCCTACAGTATTCGTACCAATCTTTTTCGGACTCCGTTTTCTTGGAACCCTATCTTACCTTGGATGGGGACTAGGGCGTGTGCATTTGCAACACAAAAAAAGGGCTGGACTGCACCAGCACAAAAAACCAGGGAAAACGGAGGCCCCCTCCACGAATTGGGGGAACGGTTCACTCATGCACAATGAGGTCAGTCTCACCCCCCGCGGCCAGACCCGTCTCGACCTCTCACTCACCTCACCCACCCGTCTCCCGGATATGGATGATGGGGCCATGGAGAGGGGCCGTACCGTACGTCGTACCCCTTCCGTTCGGTCTGGCCTGGCCCTTTTCTTTCCTCCTCGCTGAACCAACTTATTCAACTTCCGAGGTTGACGTTTGACGGTCGATCAAAACGCTAAGGGGCTGTACACTATGTAATGGCAAGCTGCGTACATTAGTCTCGGACGATGAGGGTAAATGCTCACCACAACCCGGATTTCTTCCCCAGATAGGCTGTACCACACCACGTATGATGACCCCGGAAAAAGAATCAAGGATCTAAGAAAAGCATCAGGGTCCCCTCCGTCCTAAATTCCTAACCCTACAGACGTCTAGAGCCCTTGTTTCTCCGGGCGACGATTTAGGGGAGATGGGGGAGTGTACCGCGTGGCGATAATCCGTACCATCTCAAGATGAAAGACCACCCTGTTCTGAGCAAAACTACGCGATGCGAAGATGCACACACCCGCCCACTTCACATAACTCGTTATGCCATCGGGTATATCCTGCATCGTAAGTTGTCTTGGAATAGTAACGCCCAGTGATGTCGGCTACGCGTCTGTGTGATTCGCCTATGACGCCAGACCGGGACACTGGGTGACGAAATCCCGCGTTTGTTTGGTGTCACTGGTGTGTTAGTGTCTCTCCCGTCTCTCTCCGCCAGTACCCCCAAGTTTATTTGGTGGTTCCCACCCTTGTCCTTTCGGATTAGGGCACGTCAGCGTGCCGGTTGGTTGGTTTGGCACTTCGGAAGGGTGGGAGAGAGAGAGACAGAGATAGAGGAAGTACAGGGATAGGGATCCGAGGTTGGGCGTACGCAGCAGTGCAAGAAGCAGAGACAGCTTTGAGAAGTTGGGAATAGTTGCATCTCGCTGGAAGAAAAGATCATCGCACAAACATTTGAACGCACTGCATAAGTTGTCTCACCCATCTCCTCGGCCATGGCGATATTCAGCGTGGGGTCATGCCCAAGAATGAGTAAGGCATCACGGCTCATTCTTAGCCTTGGGCTTTTCCTGGGCAAACGTCCACAGCATGGGCTTGCTTGGTAAAAGATGCAGTGAAAGATCGACTCTCGAGAAGCAGTCCCCCGAGCCCTTGACAAATCCGTTGCCGTGAACCCGACTGAGTGGGTTGACCTGTCGTCGGGCACCACGCTTGCGCGGCGGCGCCTCCCTAGACAACGCACGACTTGCACTTAGTCCCCAGCCCGCGCGGCCGATTGAGTGTCCAAAGAGTGGAAACGTCACTCTTCAAGAGAGACACCCGACACCAAAACGTGAAGCTATCCGCGTCGCGAGGTCGCCATCTCAGCTCTCCCGTCTCACCCTTCTCATCCGTACTGGCTCGACCACCATGCTGGGTCACGTAGGCACGCCCTGCAAATACCAAAACGCAACTAAACCCCTCGGCCGTCGTCGTACGGTGGTCCCCCTGACGCTGTTAGCCGCGAACCCAAGGGTCCTCTTCCCACCCCTACTCCGTAAAGCACCAGCATTGACGATGACAAGAACGAACGGCGTCACAGGATTCCTGAACCTCACGTTCAAAGTCCGGGCTGCGACGCCGAGGCACCGGGTGGCCGAGGCTGTTCCAGATCGGCGGACTTAAGCTACATAGCAGGGTTTCGGGGAGCCAAGTGGGGTTAGGAATGCGATCGCGAACACGAAAATGTGAATGCCGAGAAAAAAGGATTATGCTACGGACTCGGCCGGCGGTTCGCTCTCTCGTTGGTGACGGGTCGATTGCCGCGTTCGGCAAGTTTAGTCATCGCGCCTTGTTGGGAGGCTTTACTCACCTCAGCGAACCTAAGCCATAAGCCATAAGCCTCGGAGACTCGGAGTTTTCTTGGCAATCGCTTTCACGGACAGATACGGATACGTGATACGTGCAATGAACCATACACTTTGGCCCGAATCCCTGATGATGTTCCAGAAGCCAGTGATCTGCCATGTAGACTAGAGAACGGTAGGGCCACACTCTAAATCACCAGATGAAAGGCGTCTCTTGGCGAGAAGGTGAACGATGCCATTACCGTTTCTGCGCTTGGGTGTGCGTGATATGGGCACCAACGGATGAGAACCCCGGAGCCGATCATCCCCGTCCCGCGCTATCTTTTTCACAGGCTACGGATGGACTTGACATCATTCTTGCGGCGTACCTACGAGATGCCCTGCCCCGCCGGCCGCGCCTAGACTCTAGATCTATGGTGCACCAACTAGACAGAACTGCAACACCTCGTCGTACCGGTGATGGGGCGTGTGTTCTTTTTCCTATCTCGGTGCACTGTGAATTTGGACTTGGCCAAGGCCTGATTCCACATGGTAAGCAATTGGCATTCGCAAGCGCAAGCGTAGCCATACATGACAAGAAAACCCCCTGAAGCGAAGCAGCAAATAAGGAGGGAATAAGGATTCCAAGAAATGCACGACAAAAATCAAACATCAGGGCAGAAAGAACCACGATGCTAGGTAGTATGCCATGCATTCCCATGAGTCGAGATCTGGTATCTACAACATGATGACATGCTCTCCCCCACTCCCACCACCCATTTCGTTATCATCCGGGCACGGCACGACTTCCCCGTGAACTGAACGGTAGCCGATCCCCCCGCCGGTGGGATCAATGATTTGACGGGGGACTACTGGCTACCGTATCCGATGCTATCTGCCGGGGAACGGCAACGGACACGGGGGAAGGAACGGCGAAGCGGTGCCGTGATCTTGACTCGTGCGAGATTTACAAGACGGTGGGTGCGCGACATTCTGACACTGACAGTGCCGATGGCCCGTGGAGTAAAGACCTTGAAGAATTTGCGTGGACAGACAGGTGGGAACCGCGATGTTTTAATTGCGGCAAGTGGAGTCCCGGTGTGGTTCCGAATAGCATCATCGCGGCCAACACCAGGACCGTTCCCTCTGAATCTTATCCTCTTCTCGCTTAACGATTTTTGTTGAAACAGGACGTATCCATCATGATCCATCCACCAGCCCATCAACCCACACGTCAAAGAGTCGAAAGCCCGCGTTCCCAACCCCACAATCGACGAGATTGCAGTTCAACGTCTTCTTGAAATCCTGGAGAAAACATCTTACGATGGAAGATGCATGGCCCCAACATCAGACCACCGAGGCACCCGGAGCGGCAGGCACGAGCTGTCAAATGCCGCACGTGTGCGGCGATCGTTGGAGTTTCCTGGAGATGCTTGGTCTATTCCGTCATGTCCGCTCCGTGGCAGCCGGAGCCGCGGGTTCTCGCGAGTTCTCGCGAGTTCGTCTAGGTGCCCCCCAGACCACTTACGAAGCGGCTTTCGGGGTGTAAAGAACGACCCGTGTGTCATGGTGTTGATGACGATGATGTATTACACCGGACGATTAAATCGTTTCGAGCACATCGTACCAGAAATCCGGAAACGGAACAGATGGTAAGATGAAGATTGCCTTGCTATCTGCCCAGATAGATGCACAGATACAGATGTGTAGATGCGCAGATGCAAAGCCAAGGAATTATGACATGAAGTTGGAAACCGTTGTCCGAATCGAAAGGGGCTGCCGTTACGGCTGGCTGTATTACGGTCGGTATCATGATATCGAAAACGAGAATTTTCAAAATGTTTCTATTCTCATTATTGCATCTTTTCCCATCTTGGACGGTGTAGTGGGTCAATTGAGCCCGTTATTTCGCACAATAAACGGATTAAACTGGCCTGAGCTCCGTCATTGATGCCGTTCATGACATTCTACTCGTCAGGCACAAACGTCACAGATAGGAGGGGTGTGCAAGGGACGTCAGAGAGAGGGGGGGGCGTGTGAACGTATCCAGTCCCGTTTTAGCCGTGGGACTTGCGGGACAGAGACGGAGGCTGGTTGGTCAATGGCTGGCAAACTTGGGACGGCTGCCCGAGCCGAACGGTGACAGATTGATAGCCTGCTTCCCTTCCTTTTCTTTCCGTAGGATGCAATGACGACGACGACGACCACAGCTGGGCCGTATGAGCCGTATGGGATCACTTTCACTTCTTGCAATGCATCTCGTTACTAAGGTAAAATGCAGAGCCACGACGAAACATATCCTCTGCAAGCCACCGTGACAGCTGCAAAGCTACGGTAGCTTCCGTCCGGGGGTTCCGTTCTACCTTCACCTGCACCGTTCGGCCGGCCCCCTTCTCCCTGCCGTAAATCTTCCGTCTCAAGGCCACGTCCGAAGCCACACACAAAAAGGGAACGGCGCAGCACGGCACACGCGAGACCCGGATCTACACTTATGCACCCGGGGGGGGGTTGCCCTTGGTGTTGTTTGTTTGGCAGGCACGCAGGACACTGCAGGACTCACCGGAACAGCCTCGATTTCCTGTATGCAGGCCCTTGCGGGAAAGGATGCAGAGAAAGGAAAGAAAAGCCCGCAGTGGTTTGTTTCTTCACACAGCCTCAATGTCTCCCCGCCCGACTGTACGAATACTCCGTACGGATAGCCCTGCGTGTCTTGGGTTGTTACGTCCAACTCAAAAGAGACGTGGAGAGAGTCGGAGCCCGGGGGATGGGCATGGGGGGGGGGGGGGGGGAGGTCTTACCGGCCTCACTTTTGACATGCAGAAGAACCCAATTGTCTCACGAAAAAGAAAGAAACTCGTGCCCAACAAGCTCACAATCGGGCTAGCACCAAAGACTGGTCCTAGAGAAGGGCATCACCGCCCTCTGCGGCTTGCGATTCCCCTATTATAATCGATAACCGCAAACAAGCTCTTTACCGAGCGTTTACCCTCGTACATACAATCTTCAAATTCAAGCTCAAATATCCGCAAAAGAGTACTCAAAAAGTCTCAGTGAGAACAGGGCTGGTACCGTACTCCGTAGGAGAAGCTATCGGTATCTCAGCTGCTCAGCACCCCCGACTCAGCTGTGGTCTATCAACCCAATTTTCCCCACATGATCCGAACACGCCCGTAATTCGTGCTTTTGTGATGATCATTTCCCTCCTCTACCAGAGTTTGAACGTTGGCTTCGGAAATCTCACCCCCAAGGCCCCAAATATTGATCAGGGGGTTTATTCTGTGCAGACCGTCGCCAGCTTGGCACATATTACAACCTCCAAGGTGAGAAAAGAAGATGGGGGCGCAGAAGGAAACGTGAGAAGTGAGGCTCCGGCAAGTCGGAACAAATTTCATCTGCACGCCTTGCGAAGCTTCCAAGCAACCCCGTATGTACCATACGGGGTTGCCCCAAAATTAGCAACACCAAATGCAAGCCATCGTGTGATAGGTATCCATATAAAGCTCCTCACACAGCACCATCACATCCATTCTGCTTGCTTCGCTGCAGCACAGGCCAGGACCCCGAATAAATCTCGTAAGCTGGGGGCCTGCCAGGCTTCGCTCTTTTAGTGTCGATCATTTCTGCCCATTTATCTCAAACCAGGACAGGATGCCCGTCTCCAGAATTTAGAGCCGAGTCAAGAAACTCTACTCTATTACCACTCTCAATGTGGGGGTGATTGGTCGCATTTCATCTTGGGTGTGCTTTCGTCGTATCATGCCTGCGCAGGTACGACTCGCCGAACCGTGCTTTTCGAGCCCTTTCTCATTTCCAAATGTCACTCAAACCCCACATCACCGCTCTGTCAGCCCTGATTTCCATCGACACCTTTTTGCCTTGTATGAACTGTTGTATCCGTACGAAACTACGGATAATAAGCTGTAACAGTCCCTTGCGCCTTGTATCCAGCCTCCCCCGCCTACCAGATTGAAGAGAGCCCTATCTGCAAAAGAACCACGTTGATCGAGGCGGACGGGAGGGGACTTGGGATATGGTGATGTTCGCCGTGCGCAACATCACCCCCCCCCCCATATTCTCGATCGACGCAATGTTCTCCTTCTGCCAGCTTCCAAGTAATTAGTTCCAGTGATGAGGCCTCCCTCTTTTCAAAAGTTGCCCTCTTTTTGTCCGTTTGCGGACGTTCGTCTGGCGAACAAAGTAGAAACCCATCTCCATGCTCCCACTTCGCGCGCAACCCTACTCCATGTCGAGCTGAGAAGCGTTCCCACAGTCCCAGAGCTAAAGACGACCTTATGAGACGGTGATAATCACACCTTACGGAGCTGACCGTCCTGCCATGACCATCATACATGGAGGTCGATGGTAGGCGGGGCATCTTTTTTCCCCACGAAAGCTGCAACCAAGACCCCTTCTTCGGTACTATAGCCGCATACACGTCGTTATGATAAGAGGCTCTCCTCTATCATAGCCGGCGCCTGTTAAGGACCCAGGCGGTTGAGACGAGCGAGAGATACCGCGCTCGCGCGGCTGAAGCTCAAGGGGGAGGAGGGAGCCACCATCCTGACGCCGGACTTTCGCGAGACGGGCGTGAATGATCTACTACCAATGCCAATGCCACGATACAACACCCTGGTAAATCCCCAAAGTCTGAGCTCCCGTGGACAGGACTATCAAACACCCAGCTCTGAATTTCTCGTGAACCTGTCTCGTCGGAGTGCGTCGCAGCCCCCCAACCCATGCCCGACATGCGCAGTTCATCCACCATTTTTTTCATACCTTTTCCCAGCTCCATCCCGGCGCGAAGTACGCCCGAAAAGAAGAGGAAAGGCCAACCCTGCGTGGTAGATCTCTCGTGTCATGTCCTAACTATGATTCTCGTCGCCTTGTGCCGTGTTCCCTGGCCACCCAATCCCTCCCTTCGCGCCAGCGCCAGCGCCAGCGCGGTTTCTGATACATTTTTACATCCTAAGCGAGGCCGACCTCGATGTCACGGACATGCGCGAGGCCGGCCATGAGAGAGAGAGAGAGAGGGGCTGAGATGGTTGTGATCTGCGTCTGCGCTCATGCGTACGCAGTATGCGAGCGCGGCTGCCATGGCTCCACGGTTCGAACTTGTCTCGTACCACTCTATTCGTACAAGCTGCAGAAAAAGGTGGTGATTGATAGGTTTTTGGTGTTTCTTGCCTGCCTGCTATCCGGTCTCATGCAGAAGGTGGTCTTTGCAGTTTTTCACAGCCACATTCAACTCTACTGTCCCCCATGCATATGTAGGTAAGTCTGGAGTGGTGGTAAGCAACATCAGACCCCCCCTAAGCAGAATAAACCGTTTGCCGTAACGGGATACCCTCCTGCATCAGTGCACACCACCTCCAAGCCCCCCAAAAGCCGTCCCTTCTCAAAGAAGACTCGCAAGGTTCCCGATTCGATGATAATCAGGGACCGAAAATTCTAGAGTCGTCAACTTCCTGTTTTCCGTGCAGATGTGCAGATCGCTTTCCCCCCAAGGTGTTGGATTCGTGAACCAGACACCCAGAGTATTGGTCGCAAAAGATGCACACACACACACACACGCCAGCACGAACCGGACGGTAGGGACCGGACGCGGCTGCACTTCGCCTCTATCCCCCCCCCCCCCCCCCCCCCACTCCCCCAGATGCAAGATGCGGGCAATATTTAGAAACACAGACACGACAAAGACTGGAATGTGGGCCTTGGGGTCTTGAGGTGCAAGTTTCGCTGCAACGTAACGTGACAGTGAGCTGAATATTGAATGGCATCAACAGCGCAATTGCATCATCGGGGGATATGGTTAAGCTGTCTTACCAAGACATGCAATGAGACTCATCTTCGCAGGGTGATGCTCCGTTTGACACATTTGCAAAGTAGACACACATGCAACACAGAGCGACAATGATTTGCCAAATGAACTGTTGAGACGGGTGGCCGCGGAAGCGAGAGACAAGAACTCCAATTCTCAGACAGGAATCCAAGACCTAGCCAAGAGAAAGACACGGATCTAACGAAACAATTCGTCTCAACTTTTGTCTTGTGCTATGTCCGTGTCCCCCCCCCCCCATCTGCCTCTGTCTCTCCGTCGCGGGCCAACAATCTCTCCTTGGATCCGGAATCGACTCCGATCGCTGACACTTGACACAAAGTTAACAGTCAACCCTTCAAGCCCGCTGCCCATCAAGCGCGTGTTTCAGAGGAGACAGAGAGAGGGAGAAATGCTGAATACGGCCGGCGGGCGAGTGGGCGGGCAGGCGGTCAGTTCGGTCTTGCCCGCTAGACGCTTGAAAGCCTTGAGGCCTCATATGTTCCGTTCAACACGGGGCGGGCGAGATCCGCCAAGATTGCGAGGTTAATCGCGAGAGAGATTAGCAGACTATGGAGTACACTGATCCCGGTTTCCCATCAACAACAACAATGACAACAACAAATCCCCCGGAACTTTTCCGATTCTGGTTTTTTTTTGTGTGGCATAATCGGGCCAAGGGTCCAGTGCATTAAATCAAAGCATGTCACAGAGTTTTTGGAGGCTCGGGAATAACAGATCTCAACTGGAAGGCCTTATCTCGCCCGGAGATACGGGTTTACTTACCATGTTGATTAGACAATGATTATTCGCAGTGATGAACATGAGGACCAAGTGTTTGTGAATTGCTTCATTTGATGTTCTTGATTTGTTTCATAAGATTTCTTGTAAAAGAGTCTGGTATCCGCCTGATAAAAAATGCTAGTCCGTTTTTCTTTTCGCCAAATGATGCCCCAAGGGTATTGTAGTATCCTATACAGTTTCCTCCTCAGTACTTTTTCGTGAAAACAATTCCGCTAATGATGCGATCCCAATTCCGCGCCATTCCCTAATCAAAAAAGCCCACACGCCCAAGCCCCGCAAGGACAGACTGCAGAAAAAGCGAAGTGAAAAAAAAATAGTAGCAGACAAAATATTGACTTGCTCCATGCGCGACGACGTCAGAGGCGCCCACCAAGCAGGGACAGAGTCGACTGCGGAGAAGAGTAGTCGTGATTGGGCGGGATGAAAAGTACGCCATCTCGGTAGTGCAGATTTCGTGTCGTCAAAAGATAAATGCCCCTCACGAGAGGACCCCCCCCCCTATGATTCTCCAATGACGTCCGCACCGTCGACTTCGTGTTCCCCCTCCTCTGTGGAATGGATTGGTTTGTGTATTCCCCAAACCTCGCAAAGCGCGCTAAGCTGGTGGTTGCATCTGCAGTCGCGGATAGCAGCAACCAAAGACTCTTTTCCAGGGTTTCGGGGTAGAACCATCATCATGCACGATGATGTCTTTTCCATTCCCCTTTTCCCCTTTGAAGAGAGAAGGGACCCTGGAGTAGAAGCGGTCGATACACCAAGCGCCGGCAATTGAACCGGCGGAGCGAAGCCGAAGGGGAAAGAGAGAGAGAAAAACATGCCGTGGCCTTTTCTCGCTCTTTCCTTTCGGACCCACATGTCCCTTCCTCGTATCCGAGACGAGACGAAAAGGAGTCCGTGCGGGACATATTTCGCTCTCAGGCACCCGAAAAAAAAAAAGAAAAAAAAAAAGAAGAAATGCCTTCCCGAAGAGGAAGAAAAGAGGTAGCCGAGGCAGGCGCAGCGGACTGTGCGGTGGCGTTGAGTGATTGGCCGCAAACAGCGCACAAGAAAAGGTACATGAAACTGTTGCCTGTTCGCCCAGCGTTGCCGAGTCTTCTTTTTTTCTGCGTGGTGGATTGTGGGGTCCATGCTCCAATAGCCGGTTGCGGAAATGCCAAGACCTGATGTCAGCCAATCCCGCGCCCCGAAGGGTGGGAGAGTGGAGACATCGAACTTTGTGCAGCCAATGGGAGAGGCCGGGCTGTGAGATGACTAACCCTGAGACCTTTTGCGGGGAGGAAAGGTGCAGGTGCAGGTGCACTCCATGTGGTCGGAAGAACTGTAGAAGAAAGCCAAGCCAAGACGCGTTGCGTGGAAGAAAAGGCGTTCGAAGAAGTTCATGGCCGGACTCAGCCACTGGTCAGGCGAGTAAGGTATCCATAAACATCGTAGCTGTCAATCAGATCAGATCATGTCAGACCCGGTGGATGATTGACGGCTGTTGGGATGGGGGGCAAGTTCTCGGAAGACACCGTCGGCGCCGACTCGGCTTTAACGACTGCTCCAACTGTGGAAAATGATGTTGAACGACAGACGGCTGAGGAGTGCATGTGCTTGTGCTGTGTTAACATCTTTCTGACGTTGCGTAGCATTGGGGAATGCTGCCGTTGCAGTGTGCCGCCGTTCATGTCCACTGGAGGGCCCGTGTAGGTTGTTTCAACCTCGACGGGGTGACCATGTGACCATGTCGAAGCGAAGTCGAGAAGAATCCAAAGGAGAAGGATCCACTTTTGCCGAATTGCACAATGCGTGCGTTTTGCGGCCTTCTTTTCAATGCAAGTCTTCGGATTCATCGAGTTGATGTTGATGAACGAGACGATTGCTAAAATGGAATCCAAGAGGCAGCCCGGGCTTTGCAGCAGATAGCCGCCGTGCAGTGATCGGCAGCCCGGGCGCCGTAGATCAGGACGTGGAGGGGAAGGACCAAGACGGCCCCGCCGAAAAAGAGTAGAAGGGAAGCAAAAATAAATAAAAAATAAAAAATAAAAAGTGTTCAGACCGCGGAGTTTATTGAGAAACTCAGACGCAGTTTGGAGAATCGCCGACCTGTGGTGCTGATCCTTGGATCCTTTGGTGGAGGAGGAATGAGGTCTCACTCTCAGGGAGACATGGTCAGACATGACTGTGTCTGTTAGTCCCTGGGCGGCTGAGTGAGATCCTGGTCGTGAACCGAGCAGAGCTGTACTCTTGCTGTGGTGCGTGGCGTGAAAGCGTCCTTCTCATGGTGTGCCTCAGTCATGTCGATGAGGTTGGCCTTCGTCGGCTGCTGGAGTAGTGTCCATGGAGAGTGTGAGCTTAGTAGCTGCAGTTGGTTGGAATAAGATGTGCCGGTCCGTCGTATACTGATCCGTCACCCCAAGTACATCCCGAATGGTGCCCCCCATGGGCCACTCATTTGTAACCGACCATCTTGGCGCAGCGTTCACAGTAGTAGAGGTTGTGAGCGATGCGGACCATTCCTGTTGAGCTGGAGTCGTCGGTAGAGGTGGCCTCGACGGACCTCGCGCAGCGCAGGCAGCGGAGGACCTCGACGGAGGCAACGGGCCTGGAGATGGAGTCCATGCTGTGTCTGTAGGATGAGGATGCTGAGGACAGGTCGGAGTCGGAGGATGACGAGGAGCTGTAGTGGATCTTGGAGGGGCGCGAGCTCGAAGGCATGGTGGTGGTGTTGTTGGTGTTACTGTTCTATGGTATCGTAGTAGTAGTTGTTGATGGTCCTGGACTGATAGCGGTGGTGTTGGTTGTCTTTGGTATATTCAAGTCGTTGTAGGTTGAAGTTGGAGTTGTATTGCGAGTGCAAGAGTTGGTAGGGAGAATGAGGTCTTGAGATGTGGGCGTGGGAAGGCTTGATGATATATAATGAAGAGTAACTGTGGGAGGACGAGCAGCGTGGTGTCCAAGGGGGGGGGGGGGGGGTGTGGGCGGCAGCAGGGGTGAGGGGTTAAGAAAAGAAATAAGGAGGGTAAAAGCGAACACCAGGGTGTAATCTGTGAGTCTGGCAGGGTGTGTGTGAAGGCCCCGGGAGAGGAGGGTGTGCGAGAGCTTGTGAGCGTGGGTGTGGGATCGATGGAGAACTGATGGTGATGGCAGGCCCAGCGTAAATAATGCAAGCTTGGAAAATGTGCAAGGCGCGACGGCCTATGGAACTGTCGGCAACAAGCCCAGAGACGGCCAACGGTCGCTCTGTCACACTCCGTTGTCCGACAGAGCCGGACTTGTGCAGTTTGTGCTTGGAGCAGTGGGTGGTGGGTGATGCGGCCCAGCAGGGCAAGGATGTGTGGTGTCCTTTTCGCTCGCTCTCCCAAGAAGTCAGAAGACTGGTCGTTCGAGGAGAGAGAAGGGGGGGGGGGGGGGGGGGGGGGCGTATAACGTCAGGCACAAGACAAGACTGCTGAGAGTGAAGCCAAGCCCCAGCCAAGCCGAGGGTGAGAGACTGGCGAGGCGGTCGATGCCGATTTGGAGACGGTCGATGCCGATTTGGAGACGGCGTAGTGATTACGGAGGGTGTGAGTCCCGTAAGAGGCCTGCGTCAGCGTTTGCTTGGTCGAAGAAGGCTGGGGGTGTGGAGTTAGTTCCATTCGTTACGGATACGGAAGATGCATATGCACTATATGCGACAACAGAAAATAACGAAGTAGAAGGAGAGTCTTACGGAAATATTCGTTCCAACGGGGCGCCGTCTGACGGAGGAGGGGCGTGTGCAGCTGAACGGCAAACGCAAACTGGAGTCCTGGCCAGGGTCGTCGTTCAATTGGGCAGATATCGGGACGCGTTGGCTGCAATATCTGAGTCGTAATAGCTCCCCGTCTCTTCCTTTGGGCAGTGCTGAGGCCGAAATGCGCGGTTTGTATTCGACAAGCCTAGGGTAATGTGACTCTTTTGTTTTTGTTTTTCGCTCTTTGAGGCCTGCCTGGATAGGATGTATTGGTGATTTGAGGCCTGCTCGCTTCGTACAGCGTAAGCGCCGGTACTGAACCCTCGGGGGTTTTTTGGGCGGTGTTGGTTGAATGTGGGTTTTACGATGACCTGTCAATTTGTTCCTTATTGTTGATCAGGTAACAACAGGACAACACAGTCGGGACCGGGCGGTATGACTCTTCCAGCCGGTGGATAGAGTTTTAATGGAAATGAACAACGAACCAGTCGAAGGTAAAAAGTCTGCATCAAAGACTTTTTTTGTGAAAGGGAAGAATAGAGCAGGTGTTTATTTACCGGTGAAGACAAACATTCAAGGGTTTGCGTCTTCCTTCGCGGCACGGAGATGATGGGGATGCCGGCATATTTAACACATCTCGCATGGGTGATAAAAAGATGGAGCACGAAATTCAGGGTCCAAACCAAAGGAGAATTAAAAACAGAAAAAAAGTGATTGATCAGACTTCTAGACCTCCTCTGCTCCATCGTTTCCCGAATGTGCCCTCCCTGAGTGCAACTATTTTCCCATGTTGCGTTGCGCATTTATGGGTCTCGCGTTGGCATGTTTGTGCTTGATCGAAAGAAACATGAATATCCTACCATCGCCGATGCTATCACCCGGGGATCCCTAACTGCCCTCTCCTTCCTAAGCCTCTAAGGCGATACCAAGTAGGGCAGGTCATCAGTCCGAGACGCTGGTAAAGAGGTGGCTTTGATTGCGCATCTCGATTACAGGACGGGTTGTGGAGGGAGGGTGTGGCGGAGAAGCGACATAAAACGGCGGGGGAAGCTATGAACCCGTAGCGCCGAGTGTCAGTAGAGCAACGCGGTGTGTGTGTGTGTGTGTGTGTGTGTGTGTGTGTGTGTGTGTGTGTGGCCGTTCGTCCTTTGGCTTTTCCAAGAGGCTGATCCTGACTGTTTGATGGGCGGTCATGAACATGAAGCCGGCTGTATTACGTGGAAATGTAGGCGTCTCATAGGGCGGCCGCGCGGAGCCCGTGGATTCTGCGCGATGTGGTGGGCGGTACACACAAACACACGCATACGGACACACAGCCATACTTTGTACATACACTTTGACGAACTTGGCCTGAAGCACGGGATGTGGAGGTTGTGAATGGTGGGGGAGAAGGAATAGGAGTTTCTGCTGGAGATTTGGCAAAAGTAGCGCAAGGTTTCATGTTTCGAGATGGATTCTCAATGTCCCTTCGGGGCGTCTTGATGAAAATCTCCGAGCCACCGATGAATACCACCCATCATCAGGCCACCTCAATGTTCAATGGCCGTTTTCAACATAACTCAGCTGTGCTGTCCCAGCTGAATATCAGGGGACCTACGATGAAAAGAGCCAAGTCCCAACGACGGGGGCCACCCCGGATCGACAAAACGGAGCCCCGAACCGTGGAGCGGCGTAGGAACACTACCGTCTCGTTCCTTCTGGAGCCTTCAACAATCCTTTGATCAGAAAACAATCCGCAGTTCGTTACTCACAGGCAGCGGGAAATCCCTCTTCGGTTTGAGATTGATGAATCCGCTCGTGGCAGCCGTCGTACTAATGTTGCATGATCCTCACGGGAAGCCGTTGCAATTCTCCTCTCTCTCCCTTGCGTATGTAATTTACGCCATCACTGCCGTTTCTAACCAAGTGGAGAAAAGGGACTTCCTCAAGGCTCCTCTATCTCTCAACGACACGCCATGGCGCACGGTTTGATGCGTTGCCTTTGCGCCTCTTTTTTTCGTGCTTGGTCTTGGCCCTGGTGATAAGATATAGGCATGGCATGCTTGCTCTGCTGAGAGCGAGCCCGTCGAAAGCGTAGACAGAGGACAGAAGAGGCATCCACTTGGCGGGAACTTCCTCAAACTTAGAGGGGCTTTGGGACGGACGGAGGGCCCGAACCATGCGATTCCGCGTAAGGAATTGCATGTTGTCTCAAACAAAAGCCCAGCAGAGCGCCCTTTATTCGCTTTGCCCCAAGGGTCCTCAAGGCGGCCCCTGCGGCCCTCTCACTCTTAGCTAGTGATCAATATCGGCTGGGTCTATCCCTCGCAGAAAAATGGCTATCCGGACCGGACGCTGCCTTTTTTTTTGCTGCGGTCCAGAGCAAAAGAGAGGCACACAAAAGTTAGTTAGAGCTGCGGTTACTCTCCCTCTCTCTCTCTTCTCGCATGTGCACTCTCTATCCTCTACCTTGCGGCTTCGGATTCATGCTCAACTCCTCCATCCTTGTCAGCCTACGAAGTACCTTACCTCGTGCGCCCCCCCCCCTCTCTTCCCGAAGGCTGTGTATGTCAAAAAAGTGTCAGCCTGAAGTTCGGGGTCCTAGTTGCCCGTTCGAATCCATATCCCGGCGTCCCGGGGGCGCAAGGCCACTCGGCGACCAGCCCAACGCTGAACGGCTTACGGCACCAACGGCAACGGCACCACAACGGAGCCAACGGCCACTCCTAATTGGCGTTCTGGCGTGTCCGTTTTTGGTCGGCGGGATCCGGGGTCGGGAAGAATTTGTTTGGCTTATAGAGGCTGTAAATGTGAGAATTGGGCCTTCCCGACGGAGGTATGGGCGAACAATGCATACTCTAGGAGAACGCGACACCAAATATAGGCAGTATGGAGAATTCTCAGAGATATTGAAGAGTACTCGTATGCTTCCGTGCCCTGTGAAACGTGATGGGCTGAGTGGTTGTTCCAATCAAATTTGCTTTGCTTTGCTTTGAGAGCTATTTTCTGCCCATTTTGTTTGTTTCTGTTACTATTCCTAACCTTTGAGTATCACAAGTAAAGCTTGTGCTATTGAAACTGCAATACTTTGCTGGAAGGTTGGAGATTGGAGAATACGAGTCAAAGAGAAACACTTTTTCCGATGAATGTGGACAAAACTTAACCGCCGCTGCGGGTGCGGGACAAAATGTGTGTGTGTGTGTGTGTGTGTGTGTGTATGTCTCTCTCTCTCTCTCTCTCTCTCTCGTTGTCGTTATCGTTGCATGCAATCAATTCCATCGCAGGCAAAAAGCAACGCGGCGGCGGTCTTCTTTCTTTGCTACGGGATGCCTACGGCGCGGGCATTGATGGGATTCCGCCGAGATGGTTTCCGCAGCGTTCGGGGGAGATGTTGACCAATAAGCCCGCCCGCGCACCCACGAAACTCAAAATAAGGGAGGATCCCACTGGGCAACTCTATTTTGTTGGCCGAGAAAAAGTCCGCAAATGGGTGTCACGGCGTCTAGAGTCTAGACCTCTCTCTGAGACTACTCTGTTGACCGGGCAGAACGGACTCACGGAGGCAGTGAGAAGGAGGGTGATAGACTCTCTCCATCCGCAGTGTCACTTGACTTGATTAGAGGATGAGCCCTGTCTGTCCTTTTTTGATATTGTCACACAATCACGGGCTTTTGCAATTTCAGCCTTTTTCCCCTTTGCGCGCAAAAGTGTAGGTGTGGCATGTGTGCGTGCTTTTTTTTTTTGCCTTCATTCAAACTTCCCGCCATGGCATTTCCAATTTCCAATCCATCCTCCTTCTGCTGTCAAAGCATCGCAGTTCCCGTGAGACGCCAAGGTCTATTTACCCCTCTGCGGAGTCACAGATACTCTTAGCAATCAATCCTCCCTTCGTCTTCCGCGGGTACTCCTCCGTATCATTGTCTCTCGGTTTCTCAGACCACTTTTACCTTTCTGTGACAAGAAATAATTAATCTTGGCTCTCCAGGACTTCCATCTGTGCGTATACGGACATAATACTCACAAGATAGCCGCATACAGATGCACACCACGCAACATTGAGACGGCAGCTGCCTCCTCCAAGACCTCTGCCAGCCACATGCTACTGGCAGCCGATGATTGGCCAATGCCATCTGCTGTCTTGGCTCCCTCTTTTGCCTCCTCTTCCCCTCATCTTCACACATGCATCCGTTTTGCGTTAAGCCGAGGGGGTGTGTTTTCCGTAGCGTATGGAAAAATGCCGTTTACCCCCGTCCAAGAGAGTCCTCCCCGCCCTCATCTCCCGTCTATGCAACTAACAGTAGCAAGAGACGGAATGCCCCCCCCCGTCCTGGCTCCAAATCCCCACGGTCCACAACCGACGAGACGGCAGCACCGACATAACCACATGGGCGTTAGTTACTGAGAGACGAAATTGTACCTCAAAGGGGCTAGACTCTGATGACCCGCGCAAACTCTCGATCCCTTGGGCTGTGCGCCAAGACAGCACACCCTGTCGATCTCCCAGCCTTTTCTTCGATCCTCAGCTTAGGGGTCCCCGTTTTCTTTCAGCTTGGGTCTCACGGTCTATTCTGTTTTGAAGGACCTTTTTGCAGTGGGGAGAGCCAGGAGACCAAGACGGTTCGGTATCACCGTAATTGCTCTGAGCCCATTTTCATCTTTTTTTTTTTTTTTTTTTGCCCGCACAGCACACACGCCGTCCCAACTCCCAGCTCTACCAGGGCCCTTTCCTTTTTGGCTACTGTCACTGCTTCTGTCAAGACCACAAGACTTGGTTTTAACTTCTGTAGGGCAGACGCTAGTTGAAGGTGTAAGGTGTCGAACGTGGAGGGAGGCTTCCAACGTAAGTTGGTATTCGTATGCGAGTAAAGGGTATCTCGCGTCTTCGCTTCTTCACTTTTGATAGGAACTAACACCCAGGTTCCAAGACAGGCAGTACTTGCCGGATGCCATTTTCCTATTGCTCGGCGTCTAGCATGGCATCTTCAGAGCAGGGTATTGGCGTTTCCCTTTGCACAACTATGCGCTATGCGCGCGACACCGTTGCTAGGGAATGTGTGTCCACAATGCCTCAACATCGAGAGTTTTTTATCCTCATCGGCCGTCTTGCATGGGCATCGTCCGTCAGAAGGGAATACGGTGCTACGCTACCGAGATAATAACCCCATCCCTCCGCGCATTGCCCGTCCCGCTGCTCAACCTAAGCGAACCCCCTCTTCTGTACGGAGACGAGAAGGGGGGAGGATAGATGGGGAGGAAGAGGAGGTTGGCGTATCGTAGTTCGAAACCCATCGTCTCACTGGATGCCAAATCGTTGCAAAACAGCCAAAATGCCATGCAAGACCACGCAAGCCTCGCGTGTGCCAAACCCCATGCCATGCCATGTAACTGCCTCAACCTCACACAATCCCGCACCACCAGAGACGGCACCACGCAAAAGCCCGCATATCCTCACCAATGGAGCGCCCGTGGCTGTGGCTGCAGCAGCCCGCGTGCCCGCCCGTTCGCCCAGGGCGAGAGAGAAGCGCCTCTTGGAGTTGCGCGTACGTTACTCACGTCCGAGGCTGGGTTCGCTTGGCTGCCTGCCCTGAGTCTTGTCCTGGTGCCTGTCAGACCGCGTTTCAATGTGAAGAATGATATGATAAGAGCGTAGGCACTGGAATGGGAACAGGCTGCAGAATCGGGCGCGCCGCGCAGGCAGAAGGCAGTACGAAATGGCTGATTCGCCAACGGCTCCCGCTAAACGACAACAACCGAGACCCTTCGAAACATGTCAGTCAGTCAGTCACACACCGGCAGGCAAAAAGCCACAATACGGCTCCTGGCTGTCAGCGAGGTTTCTGTTGATGACAGGATGGAGTAAGAAAACACCACGCCCCCGGGAGCCCGGCCACTGCATCGGAGATAACTGACAACTCAAACCCCCATTCTGCTTTCCGTTCACGGTTCGGCTGGTCGGTCGTGGTTTAATCAACATGGATGCGTCGGAAGTTTGCTGAGGTTATCTCCTGGTTACTCTCCCAACGCGCGGGGCCCCCATCTCGCGTCCGGATCCCCAGCGAGTGCGAAATGCCGTCTTCACACCCATCCATATCTCCGCACACGCGGAGAGGGTTCGCTGAGCTGCGCGGCACCGAAAGAGAGCTTCGGCTTCCCTCTCTCTCTCTCGTTCGCATTCGAACTCTGGGCGTATCTTCGGGTCCGCCGGCTATTAAGTGCATAACCCCGCGTGGCTCTACGAATAAGTCAACTCCTTCACTACATCCGTCTCAAAGATATCGCTCCTCAAGCCCACACACGCCCCACCTCTTTGGGGAAAGGCTTGGGCCCTTTTTTGGTGTCGTCTCCTGCCTAGCTCAATTTGAAGTCAACTTTATCAATCCGGCACCCAATCATCAAAGAAGATCGAGACGGTGTTCGGGAACCACTTACGCTAAACCTCGGAGTCCTCAATTATCAAGCAAGACCCTTGCTTAGGAATCTCTCGAATTATCAGGTAATCAGCTCCCGTGGAAAATGCGAATGAGCGGTGGTTCAGCTTCTGGGCTGCTGGCTGCCTGGCATATCTTTCTCTTGTCTAAGCGGCCACGGGGTGCCAAGGTCCCTTGCCGTAGCACCCTCACGCTACTACGTAGTCATCGTGGTGCGTTCGTAGCGAGAGACGCGTGTGGGTTGGAAGACTCATATCGCCCATCGGGTGCTACGGCAGGTATCGACGACTTTTCCCCATGTCATCGTGATCAGACGAAAAAAAATAAATCCCATCGTGCTTTGCAGGTTGCCAGCGAGGACACCCTTCTCCCACTCTCTGAGCAAATGAGCACTCAAAAATTCGACTGATCCCTTTCTGCCACAGCGTGGCTGAAGAGACCTTGTCCTGACCTCTCACTCTTTTTTGGTGGGCTTATGGGTTGTCTTTTTGACGCTTGCTCCGACTTTTGGACGAGTCTGGCATCGCAAACCGTCAAAACTGCCGGGTTTGCGTTTCGCACACCCTCTCGCTTGTCACGAGGCTGCTGTGCAGCTCAAACGCATCGTCGATGTGCGAGAATACATCGCCGATGTAGGGCAAGGGGCAAATAAGAGCGGACACAAGCAAACTCGGTTGCTCGGTTCTCAAAACATCAACGAATCTACTCGCCACGCCCATCGCCAACTCGGACGCGTCTCCTCCATAGGGAACAATTCCATCAGGTCCCATAAGGGGAATTCATCCAATGGCACAAAGCTGATCGACATTGTGTGTTCGAGCCTTACCCGTCTCTCATCCCCGATTCTTTCGCCTCCCTTCCTCCACTATTGTTCCCATCAGCAAGGTAAGCTTCAGTGTGGAGATTAGTCTTCCAATTGTTCTGCCTTGTGGTCACAGCTCTTGCGCCTCGAGGTAAAGGCCTTCCTCATACTGCAAGTGATCGTCCATTCCATCTGCGGGAACGGATGATCCGCAGATGACTACTGATTGTGAATTACAGCAGCCCGTCGCGAATATCAATAGCGTTCTGACATGCACGCACGGCACGGAAGCATCGCATCGGCACATCGGGCAGCACAACCAGCGCATCAACAGGCAACCATCGGTCCAAAGCGCACCAACAACCGATGATTTGCATAGACGGTTGCAAATGCAATAGTCTCAACTCGGGACTCTATTCTATCTGCCTCGCTTGCGTTGCAAAATGGTAGCAGAGTATCACAAGGACAAGGCCAAGAAAACACCCCGCTCCATGTCCAACATTCACTGATATTGACCTTTCTAAGCTTGATAGACATCACCTGCCCTTTGGGAGTCATTGTCCGACAAATTCGCAACGCCAAGTCGCCAACCAAAGAAAGACACGTCAAATCCCGTCACTCAGGCTTGTACAGAGTTGTACAGACGTTGGTCAGGGTCTCTAGTCTCGAGACAAGCCTCTTGCGGCCGCTTGACGGGAATGTGGGTGTGGCATGCGCAAAATCCCTTGCCAGCAACACAACCTTCCCCACGACATGGCATCGGGCAGTTGTTAGTCTGATCGGCTCGCACCCGTCGCCCATCGACAAAACCGCATCCAGAGTGTAAGTAAGACGTGACTGAGAGGTAAGTTTTAGCTTCTTCAATAGCGTCTGAAACTTTCTTCATTCTTTTTCCCGTCCTGTTCCCCCGGTGCGCCGGCCCTGCTGCTAGAGGGGGGGAGCAAGTCCTCCGGCCCTCCGCGGTATTCAACCACATGATTCCGCATCGGTCATCGAAACGAAACCCGATCGAAACGCCAATGGTGTCTTTACGTCCTATTTCGCGTGTGCGCTACTGGCGGATACCCTACCCGCGCTTGCGCTGTGTCGTTCTTCGATCTCGATGACATTCAATGCCAATTTTGCCAGTATTCCACACCTTTTCGATGGTATCGGCATTTTTCGATCGAATTTCTCACATTTTCACATTGGTTTCTATTCCTCTCTATCCACAGACTACTCTTTTGTTCCCTGTCTTGTTTCTATCCCAAATCCCTTCCCTGCCAGCTAGCCACCCTTGCGTTAGGTGCACTTTGACCTAGTTCGAGCGCTTCTGTCGACTTTACTCATTTGAGTATCGTATTCACGTTCACAACTCGACTCGACTCGTAAATCCATTTAGAGAGAGAGAGAGAGCTGTGACCCCGATACTCAGAGACAGCACCTGCCCGTGCCCTTGTCGTCGATCCGGCTAGTCTGCGATCGCGATGAACGTCGCACATCCGTCCCTGGATGCTAGGCATCGTCTAAATATTCTTCTTTATTGGCTCGCGGCCACCACGGCATAGTCATGCTATCTTCACCCAATACCTACCGTCAAACGGCTCACCGTTCCAGGTTTTTTCCCGATCGACCGTCACCTGTCTGCATGCCTGACGTTTCTGCACCTATATCGTATGGTGGTGCATCTTCGATCCATTTCGAGTGATCGAGCTACATTCCTCTCGGCCGTGGCTGCTACTTGGCAGTGAGCCACTCTTTTCTTCTTCATCGTCACTGCTGTGCGCGTCTTTCGCCCAGATCGTCTCTGCTGTTCGGAGCCGGCACGGCGAAGACTACGCCTGGTTAAGCCGAGGTGCCCATTTTCCAGGTGTTGTCCAACTTAACTCCAGCCCTGGCCCCAGCGCCAAGTTCCTTGGTTCCGGTTCCAGTTCCACTCAAAAGCAAGTCAAAGTGTCTCGTTTTTGACATCGCCGATCCTGCCCCAATCGACCTGCTTCTCTGGGGTCACGGTCTCAGTCACCCAATATCCTTTCCAGCTCGTTCGGCGCAGTATCCATTTAACAGGGAGAGGGGTGTTCGGGGAGGACACTCTTCTATCGGGGCGACGACACCCATCACTTGACACTGGGGCCACCCGTGCTGATCAACTGCCTGCGACGGCCATTCTGATGGAGAAGATGGATTTCAATACCACCTCGCCGTTCTAGACCATCGTCGAACTCGATACGATGACAGGGAACGCCTGCGAGCAAATTCCCGGCCATTGTGGGTTTCTCTTGAAGTAAGGTGATGCCCCAGAGATTCTCCGCATTTTCTCGACAAGCAGGGTTTTGGGATTTTCTTTCTCCCCAGTGCGGCTCTATGGCTTTTCTGCTCATTTGATTCCTCATGCTGGCTGGGTGTCGATCTGTCAGCGGAACCAAATAGCACCCAGTCGGTGGTCTGGCGGCAGCACTTGTTGGCAGTACGACCATGTGATTATGGACGCTTTTCTTGTTTATTGTGATGCTATCTGGCCCCAATCGGAGAACAAGCCAAGGTTCTTCCTCCCGTTGGGGTGAAGTGGTTGGCACGTAAAAGTCATGGAGCCGACTACACCGATTCTACTATCTCAAAACGCATGAGCTCATCTTGAAGAATGGCAGTAGAAGGCATGTTTCTACCAATATGTGCGGCGGATGCTTGTAAACTTTGACATCCGAGGAAACCTGTTGTCTGCGCTATTCTAAGCCGTGGCCGGATGGCCTACATCTGGGCCCATACGTAGCTCTCTACTTACTCATGCCTTGATTTCCCCATACTCAGTCAAGTGGGTGACACAACGGATTGCCGCCCAACACGAAGTTTTTCTATCCTTCCTATCATTAACTTTTCTATTATTATCATTATCAATAACTATCACTTTCTATCTTTGAAATATTCTACATAGAATACATCTTAAGAAATATAATATAGATAACGTACATGCATAGCGAGTCGCCCATCATAGCGAGTCGCCCACTTTCCTTTCCTTCCTTACCTTCCATCTTAACAACCATTTTTCTTTACGTACGATAATGAGTTCTTCTTCAAATGAAAGTCGTATTATCCTTGCACTTCAAGCAATCAAAAAAGACCCAAAACTATCCGTACGAAAAGCAGCCTCTATTTATAACGTCCCAAGAACAACACTTCGCGACCGACGCGCTGGCCTATTACCTCGATACGAAACTCGTACGAATTCAAAGAAAATGACTTCTTTAGAAGAAACCGTGATTCTTGAACGAGTTATTGACCTGATCGATCGAGGATTTCCACCGCGACTTGACGACGTACGAGATATGGCCGATTGCCTCCTTAACGAACGCGACGCGACGCGTGTCGGACCGCGATGGGCAGAGAACTTCGTACGACGCCAACCACAACTAAAGACGCGTTTTCGACGTGGAATCGACTATCAGAGGGCATTAGCTGAGGATCCTGCAATTATACAAGCCTGGTTTGCCCTCGTACGAAACACGATTGCGAAGTACGGAATACACGATAACGATATCTAGAATTTTGACGAGACGGGCTTCTTAATGGGAATGCTATCGCACGCAAAGGTTATCACAACCTCTGATCGTCGTGGGAGGCCTCGTACGAAGCAGCCTGGTAACCGCGAATGGGTTTCTGTTATTCAGGGTGTATGTGTGGATGGCTGGGCGCTACCTCCGTACGTCATCGTCAAGGGCAAATACCACCTCCTCTCGTGGTATACCAATAACCAATTTCCCCCCAAATAGCGCATCCACCCTAGCGAAAATAGATGGACTACAAATGAGATTGGCCTAGATTGGCTAGAGCACTTTGAAAAATGTACAAAGTCTCGTACGAAGGGTGTTAAGCGGCTCCTGATCCTTGATGGCCATAATAGCCACAAATCGACCAAATTCGACGATTACTGCAAGGAGCACGGCATTATTGCTCTTTTCATGCCTCCCCATTCATCGCACGAACTTCAGCCTCTTGATGTTGGCTGTTTTGGTCCGCTAAAGGCTTCGTACGGCAAGGAAATCGAGAAGATGATGGGGATGCAGATTACGCATATTACCAAGGACGACTTCTTTCCTGCCTTCAAAGCAGCCTTTTTTACTTCAATAAGTAAAGGAAACGTACGAGCTGGTTTTAGACAGGCTGGCCTTGTACCCTTTGACTCAGAAGTAGTTGTTTCCCGCCTTGATTTTAAGCCAAAGACGCCAACACCATCCAACTCACGCCCAAGCAGCCAGGGCTCCTGGGACCCAAAGACACCAACCAACCACAGCACATGACGCCGTACGAAGCTCTGATTCACTTAAGAAAAGGATTCATAGCCATCAACATAGCTCACCAACACATTTATACGAAGTTGTTGACTTGCAAGCCAAAGGTATTAGCAAGTTAGCACATAAACTAGCTCTTGTTGAAGCTGAGTGCCGCGGGCTTCGTACGGCAAATGAGATACTAAGTAAGCGCCGCAGGGCTAAAAAAGCCCAACTGCGTCTTGGAGGGTCACTTAATACAGCTGAGGCCGAGGCAATCCGGGCAGAGAAGGGGGTTGTTGATGCTGGAGGCGAAAATATACGTCAGGAGGGTGCTCGTACGGAGGGGGGTGAATCGCGCGGGCGGCGATGTGGCAACTGCGGAAAGACTGGACATAACGTACGAACATGTCAGGTAGTTTGGGAGACCTCTGAAGAAGAGGCTGATGAGTAGTTCCAATTGATTTCGTACGATGCGGCTTAATTGACTTACACAAAGGGCTGGAGGGTATTTGAAAGTGGGCGACTCGCTATGCATGTACGTTAGTTATAAGAATAATAGTGGTAATAGGAATAGTAGAAAGAGTGATAGGGAGGGTATTGAGCGGCATCCCATTTTGTCACCCACTTGTCAGTATCGATATCTGTTGGTATCACAGGCGTGATACATTTCCTCATGAGGGTGTATCTTCGGCAACTGTTGGATTCACAGGTGGAAAAGGAAAATACTCGAGTATCGTGGGTAGCAACGATCACCGACTGTAGTGGTGATATTGCTTGTTCTTGTTGTTTGTTGTTCTTGAGTGGAAGTCTAACCAGGTGCCAGCGGCGGCAGGAAGTCTGGGGTATACCACCCTCGTGTGGCTGAGCCACACGGACCCCCGTGGCTGGAACGGACCGCGGCAGCAACCTCCTGCTGCCTAATGTAGGCCTATTCCAACAGCAACAATCACGTCGATGTCCGTGATAATTGCTGTTCTTCTTCCTATTTACATTGTGGGCAGGGGCCGATCGAAGTAGGTGGGGACGGCCTGGGTGGTTGCCCCACCTTAACCGGCCATGATGACTAAGCCGGTTGTCCCACTTCGCCCAGGGCAGGCGCCAGCCAGCCCACGATACCTGCCCATTGCTCCTTATCAGCCTTGCCGTTCCGACAATATCCTTGACCAAATATCAAGGAGAATCAGAGATGCTGTGTAGCTCATGAGGTACCCGAATTATAGCAGGAGTTCTCTTGGTGGATTCTTTCGACCATGCCTTTGCATTTTTAAGCCGAGGCTCTCCTCCCTCCATCCATGTACTTACTGAATCGATCCGTTTGGCCTGTTATTCCAATTTTTGTCCTTCTTTCAAGCGACATTGTACCAGTAAGTCCTGCATCTTTACTAATGATCCGGTCCCCGAAATAGTAAGCATGCATATCCCAGAGTAAGGTACCATCCGCATCGTGTTGCAACAGTTATTAAAATCTCCCCGTTATATCGTCGGTCGACCGCGAAGTTCCACAACAAAGAGATCCGAGTAGACTAGCCTCAAGAACCTCTAAAGACCACACAACTCCAATTGAGCATCCAGTCAACGTGCAGTTGCCATTGTCGTGACACAAATTTGGACGGCACCTTCCAGAAGGACTCGGCCCCACCGCGTAGCCCACTGTCCGCCGCTAGGGCTCAACCCACCAGGCCTACTTGAGCCCTGACTCTCGCTGCACTTCCAACCAACTATCACTGGATGTCAACATCCACCAATCCCCGATAGTCTAGTGGTGAGGATATCTGCTTGTCATTGAAAACATCAATAATTCGCAGGGGACCGGGGTTCAATTCCCCGTCGAGGAGTAACCTTTTGCATTTTTGACCAAATACCATTTCCTTTTGCTCTATTGCTTACAGTTCTTTCATATTTTGCAGATCTTGCTTTGTTTTTCTCACGGGGTGGCCTGTCGTGGACCTCCGACCAGACCGAACGCCTCACCACATCACGGATTCTGCACACTCGGCAGCCGGTACTTCTCCGAGAACATCGGAGCCCACATGCGCTCCATGAAGAACCCAACCTCCGGATTCGTCGAATTCGTCGTCTCAAACTCATTCAGCGCCTTTTGATACGCCTCCTTGGGCAACTTCCGTATCGTCTCTCGGCGCACAGCAAACGTCCCGCCGTGCATCGCCCGAATCGCCGGCGGATGCTCTCCGCCCACTATCATCGTCCAGAACTGTGCCGGCGTGTATGGCGCAAGCTGCAAGCTCTTGATCTGACTAGCCGTGATCCACAGTTTCTGCGCCGAGCTGTTCCAGTCGATCCGGCCCCAGTCCGCAACATCGTGGAACAGCGCGTCGTTAAAGGGCGTCACGTCGTCCGCGGGCACGCTCATCGCCTTCTGCACCATCTGCTCCGTCGTGTTTACGACGGGTGCGATGAGATCAAAGGGGTCCGCCTGCGTGAAAATCATGATGTCGTCGAGGGTGTCGTAGTTGTTTACAATATGGTAGAGGTGAGTGTGGCCTTCTCGTCCGATGTTGCGGAGGGATACGTAGGAGCGGAAGGAGGAGTGTTGCACGGTGTCGTTCATCTGGGGCACACCGCCTTTGGAGTAGAGGTATGTGGAAGCGGCGACGGGTGCCCAGGGATCGAGAGATTCTTTAAAGCGCGCGCAGACGATGCCTAGTCGCGACGGGGTTGCTGCGAGCGCTGCTAGGAGCGGGAGGGTGATGGCGACCATTGTTGGCGTTTGGTGCACGTATCCGGATGGGTGTTCGTCTTGGCGGTGGTTTGGATGAGCAGAAGACACGACGGTACACGGCGAGCGAGGTCGTGTTCTCTTGAGCTCTGCCTCCTTTCCATCCCGTCGGTAGGATGGTCTATGCCGTTGAGGCCGGCAATCAAACTCTAATTCATTAATAGCAGCGTACTCCAAAAGCATCCCACCGGTGCCAGGGAAGATTGAAACTCAAGACGTCGACACGCAATTCTAACGACACTGTTGGGTCACGGGGTCGTATACGACAAATAGTGGTAGCAATTATCACTCGTCTGTTGGTGATCCTATTGCTTGTTCTTGTTGTTGTTCTATCTTACATTGTAGGCAGGAGTCGGTCGAAGTAGGTAGTGACGGCCTGGGTGGTTGCCCCACCTTTATCCGGCCGTGATGACTAAGCCAGTTGTCCCACTTCGCCCAGGGCAGGTGCCAGCCAGCCCATGGTACCTGCCTATTACTCCTTATCAGCCTTTGCTGTTCCAACAGACACTTTTTGCCCGCATAGACTAAGTCCGCCGAGGGGATACCTCAAGCTTAGTGCGCTCCTTGAAATTGGATTCTAGTTTAAACTACATGGCTGCCTACGTACCCTACTTGGTCAGGCTCTCTAGCTTACGACTTGCTCTCAACTAAGCTTCGCGAATCATTTAACTTTAATATGTCAGCCTCATACCAATATGAGCTGTTACGGGCTGGACCCGATTAGTGGATCCGGGCCAGCGCCCGGATATTCTGCCACGATTGACCGCGCGGGCTCTATTACGCCTACGCTCCACCTCCGCGGAAGCTCTCTCGTCAGCTTAGATTCTATATACAGAAATCACCTCTACGTGGCCACACGAGGGCTGGGCTCTTAACATGAGCTAAATCCTACGTCTAGAGCCGCATTCGTACAGTATACCCGCCAATCCGTGCCGCGAGGAGGTGATGAAGGGCAGCCCTAGGGAGGCCAAGTTTAGGAGGGCAAGTAAGGGTGGCCTTGAGCCCTAGTTGGGTATAGCGGGGAGTTGCCTTTTGTTTCTACTATCGTTTATATTGGCGTCTTGGCCGCTTTTTAGTAAGCTACTTGATACCTGATAGAGTAGCTAGTTGGCCCCTAGGGACTGGTAGAGTTGTTCCCTCCTTAGTTAGGCTGTTTGCTTCTTCGTTTCCTTTAATATCTTGGTGTCCCGGGGACTAATGGGTTTGTATATCGTATATCCTAGCTACCTCCTGGATCTCTAAGAAGGCAGCTTGTGAGGAGTCTGGGACCTTGCTACGGATTCCCTGGATGATATTGGTATTATCGATGTAGATGTGTATCGGCTGGCCCTGAGAGGTATGGAGGGCCCGTCGGAGCCCCGCCTTCGCCCCTTCCGCCTTACCGTTAAATACCTTTGCTAAGCCGAGGCGGCCGTAGCCCTGGGCTATACGTCTGTTTTTGCGATAGATAATAAAGCCGAACCCCGTGGCCCTATCAGCGGCTTTAGAGCCGTACGAGTAGACGATTGTATGATTGTCTGGTACGGTCTTGAGCCAGGCTTGGAAGGCTTTAGCTGCATCCTCCTTACGCTCTAGGGCTATGAGGTCTTGTGAGCCTGGGGGGTATTGCGGCTATATGAGTAAAGGCCTTGGGCATTTAGGTAAGAGGCCAGCTGTTCTTTGAAGTCTTGTCCGTTGCAGCCCCTGCTGCCAGAGCCTTGGGACCAAGGGATGTTGTTGGTCAACCTTCTGTAGCCGCGTAGCAAAGCGTAGTCGTGCTGCTTCGAGGGCAACCTCTGCTGTGGGCAGGCCAGCCTCACGAAGGAGGCTGCTAGTTGGTGTGGTCCTCCAGACAGGTAGGATAGCCCTTGCCGCTGCTGAAATAACTTTCCCGACTTTGCGGACCAGGCCCTTCTGTCCCGTAATACCTATAGTAGCTATCTGCATAGTAGTACCACTACTGGTATTGGTGTTGTTACTTAAGGCTGGTCTGTATAAGCCTGCATACCAGATTTCAGCTCCGTAGAGGACTGTAGGTAAGATACAGGCGACGGCCGCTTTACGCACAGCAGCTGCTGGTAGCCCCCCTTTTGTGTTTGTTATGTGTGTGTGTGTTATATTTAACGCCGTGGCGGCAAGGGCGCAGCCGCCCTTGCGGCCGACCTCCCGAAGGGTATATGGCGTGGAGAGCCGTCGCCCTATAACTATTGCTAGATACAGTTTAAATCGTCCTCCAAATCGTGCCTTATGGCTACTATGCGTTCTATCTGTCCCTGGTTCCCGCTGGTGCCCCAGTTCCATTCTTGAATTTTGCGGCTTAAGGCCGGATATGTCTGGAGAGGGCGGCCTGCCGAAACAGGCCCCTCGTACATGTTCTGATTTGTACAAGACCATTCCTGCCCCAGTACTAGGTTAACGACGTGTACTCGCCGCATATCCACTTCTTCTTGGTCGGAGGGTGTGGATATGAGAAAACCCTGGCGAGGGCCCGGAAAGGGTCCTAGGCCCCACATTGGGCTCTGCCCTACCCTTCCCACAGGTAGTTAAAGCAGTTGCCGGCGGCTGGAATCAAACCAGCGACCTCTGGGCTCCAGAGGCCTTGCCAGGTGTATGCCACTACACCACGCCGGCGACGCCAGTATCCAGTCTTTGAGAAATCTGTTTTCCCCGGCTTCTGGATCATAATAACCTCTACTTTGTAGAAGGTCCTGGGGAAGTAGCCCGTTTAAACGTAGGCCTGAAAGAGCTGCTGTATAGGTGCAGCTATCAAGCCCTAAGTGCATTCTAGTAACTTTATAGTAATCCTATTAATCCTAGGGGTTGTGGCCTTTGTGAGAGTCGCCTGGCGCACTTCTTCTATGCTGACTGCCTGCTGCCAGGGTATTAGACGCCTTGCCACTATAGGAACCCAACTTCCCTCTCGCCTAAGTTTTCTTGGCATCTACTGTTAGTGTAATAAGTGGGCTACCACCAAAATCCTTAACAGCTGAAAACCCTTCACCTCTCCTCCGGCGCCCTCCCGCGATGACCTCGCAGCCTCCGGCGGGCTCTGGACCGTTGCCGGCCTCCTCGGCCGGCCCTGATCGAGGCTCTGGACCCTCTTCAGAGCCGCCCCCATCCTCAAGGGCTAAACGCCGCCGCGAAACCGAGGCCCAGCCACTCCGGCCCAGCCTCGTGGGAAGCCAGTCCGACGCCCCAACAACAACCCCCTTAACGGCTAAGGGGCCCTCGACTATAACTAGGACAGCTACTGGAGCTGTCCTTACAGCTCTTAATGAAGAGGCTAAGCACTATGAAGCCCGAAAGGACGTCTTTATGGCTATTGCTCAGTCTGTGGACAACGTGATCTCTTGCTTTGAGGGGCCTAGGAAACAGATTGCAAAAGAAGCTACAACCTATGTAATCCAAGCCTTGAAGAGGATTATGGGTAACGAGACTACGGCTCCGGCTCCGAGCCGGAAATGGACTGACGTAGTAGCCTCGGCTTCAACTACAGCCGGGGCCGTAGTCTCGTTACCCATAATCCTCTTCAAGGCTTGGATTACATAGGTTGTAGCTTCTTTTGCAATCTGTTTCCTAGGCCCCTCAAAGCAAGAGATCACGTTGTCCACAGACTGAGCAATAGCCATAAAGACGTCCTTTCGGGCTTCATAGTGCTTAGCCTCTTCATTAAGAGCTGTAAGGACAGCTCCAGTAGCTGTCCTAGTTATAGTCGAGGGCCCCTTAGCCGTTAAGGGGGTTGTTGTTGGGGCGTCGGACTGGCTTCCCACGAGGCTGGGCCGGAGTGGCTGGGCCTCGGTTTCGCGGCGGCGTTTAGCCCTTGAGGATGGGGGCGGCTCTGAAGAGGGTCCAGAGCCTCGATCAGGGCCGGCCGAGGAGGCCGGCAACGGTCCAGAGCCCGCCGGAGGCTGCGAGGTCATCGCGGGAGGGCGCCGGAGGAGAGGTGAAGGGTTTTCAGCTGTTAAGGATTTTGGTGGTAGCCCACTTATTACACTAACAGTAGATGCCAAGAAAACTTAGGCGAGGGAAGTGCATTATCCGAGTGATGGTGTCCTATGTCGCTTAAAAACGCAGCTCACAACATGCTTGTCTGTTCGATCTGAGGGGAAAGTTCACTATGGTCGCGTTGGTACTTTGAGTTATGAGAGGAAAGAGCGATGCCGCAAATCTTTTCAAGATTATTTTGGAACTTTCCCACACGTATAACGCAAACAGACCTTGTGTTCCACGATGACATGCCGGCAGGAGAATGTTTTTGGATGGATAATCAGTTCAATTCTATGATGGTATCTTTTCACTCTATTGAAACATGTTTTGTACAATCTTTTGCCATCCGCCCAATGCTATGTAGGCACACCCATTCCCATGGTCGCTAGTGCATATCCGCTGACGAAATCGAACAAGGCGAAACGTTTACTCGAGGTCGAAAGAGCGGGCACCGGTGTAGTGCTGGACAACAGCGTTGGGCTGGTTGGAGATCTCGAAGTCGGAGTTGGGGAGAAGGTGGGAGGCAGTCTGGTTGCTGATGGGGGTAACCGGCTGGGAGACGGTGAGGGTGAGGCCCTCGGCGCTGCGGACGACGTCGAAGGTGCGGGAGGAGAGAGTGCAATCGCCCTCCTTGACATCGGGAAGAGTGCCGTCAGTGTTGGCGGTGACGAGAGCGGTGCAGTTGACACCGGTGGTCTCCATGGTGCCGGGCTGGATGACGGTGAATCCGTAACTGGAAGATGGTGGTTAGTTTGTGCTGGAGAATGTTGTGTAGAATGATTGTAGACTTACGAGCACTGGGTGCTGTGGGGGATGCAGTCGGCACCGAAGTTGGAAACCTTGAAGGTAACGTCACGCTTGCTGATGGCAGCAGCGGCGGCGACGGAGGCGGAAGCAAGAAGAGTGGCGAACTGCATTTTGAAGGTTGTTTTGGTGTTTGGTTGGTGATTAAAGAATAGGTTATTGTGTGAGTTGGTCGTGTGTGATACAGAAAGAAACCACCACTACAGTTTGCGAAGTTATCAACCTTATATATTCTTTTGATTGCAACTGAATCTTGGATAATACGAGGAGTCGGGAGGCTATCCCCCGGGGCAATGACGATCGCCAACGGCGATCGGTGGACCCCGGTACTGCCGAACTCGTATTTGACCCGACTCCCGAATTAGTCTTGAGGTGAAACGTCATAGCCTCCAACCCCTATATGACGTCTATCATGCAAAATAAACAACGGAAAAGTCCACTTCCAATTACTCAACAATAGCCCCATCCAATTTACAGTTTCCTGCCATGCGCAAAATAGGAATCCCTGGGTGAGAGCGCGCATAATGAAACACATCAGCCGCGACCCCTTACCATAATATGCAGCAGCTCCAATAGTATGATCACCGCCAATGTTGACCATGCAGCATAACATCGAAAAGGGGCTTTCCAATTTCAATCGCGGGAATACCTAGAATTCCCTCAAAAGACCCCCAGCCTTAAACTCCCGCGTGTCCACCACAGCTCCAGAAAAGCCCCCCTAATGACGGGCTCAAGGGTTTGCAAGCTCATGTTGTATGATTAGACGAACGCTCGTACGTATTGCCTTTTGATTGGACCACACCACAACTTTCCCCGCCTTGAGGCACATGATGGGACGATTGTCAACTTTTCATCTATCTATTTTGGGCAACTTGCAGACAAAGTCACCCCTGTTGCGCGATCATCATTCCCCAACCTCGGAGAAAACTAGCTCCCCGGACGCTTCTTTTTCAGCCCAGAAAGTTGAGCGAGCGAGCCTTACGCACGCCAAGCTTCTTCCCGCGGCTCAGATGAACCGGGTCAAAGCCGATTTCCTGCGCGCAATGTGCAGTTGGCTGACCCCACTCTCCCTGCCAAGCTTGAAGCGTTGGCATGTCGATGGCAGGGGTCTCCTTCTATGCATGACTTGTTGCTCGGCCGGAATCCTGAGCGTGGGCTCCTTTGAGATCATGATTCGTTGTCTCTGTTTATGTTTACTAACTGACCATTCACAGGGCTTGAAGAGCATTGTAAGCCCATAGCTCGAGAGTTTCCCGTCGACTTTAACTGCAAGAAGCCGTGGGAACCGAAAGCGATGCGGCGTCCTGCTACTTGTCGGTTGGACGGAACGGAGACGGTAATTCATCGCGACTCGAACTCGCTAGGGCGCGATAGACTTTTCCGTTTGCATTAACAGGTGCTCAGGAGGTTTATCCAGCTCATTCTTTCATGGCGGTGAGACCTTCACCGATCCTCTCCCTCGCCAGTCTACGAATGGTGGCCCACTGAGTCTATACGAGATCCACCGCGTGTGTCAAGGGGCCGTGGCAATGGGTTATGAGACATCGCTAATGGCATAGTGACACGATAGAACTCGCCTATATCGGCTTCGTGGCTAATCTCTATCCTCAAGGGAGAGAGGGTTGCCAGCACGTTGAAGCAATTCTCGGTTTTTGAGCGCTAAAAACGAGGTCACGTAACGTTGGTTGAGTTGTCGGCTGAATGAGGACCGACCAACGTCCTTGAAAAGGCATGTTCATGACGTCGTTATTCACTTCGTATCCGGATCTGGCAAGACTCGGCTCCCCGTTCGGGGCGCCGGGGGATTCGGGGAAAGCTCTAATGCGGCTTTGGCGCGGCCCGCGACGCCACTTTCTCGATTCCAGGGTTCCCCTCTAACCGGAGTTAGGATCAAGGCGTGGAGCCGCAAGAAAGTAGCGTGCATTCGGGTCTTCGCCGGTGGAGTGTTAAAGGGAGAGGCGCGGGCTTCTGCGAAAGCGTTTCGATCTGCAAGCCACGAGATTTTGGCGGGTGTCCTGGGAGGCAAGGAATTCTAAAAATAAGAACGTGAAAGAGGTTCAGCTGAGAGTTCAAGAAAGGAGGTCCATCATTTGCTCTCTGTAGAAACAGCCGATTTTGAGTTTCCCGCGGGCAGCGAGGCTTCGCCTTGTAACAAGTCCAGTGTCCATCCAATGCCTACGAGTCACGCCAATCTATGCCACCACATTTTCCCTCCTTTTTTTTCTTATTTTATAAGCTCTTTCGAGCAATTGACAAAGATATCTCATGGCCCTCTTCTCCAATGCAACGCTTTCACCGGAGATGTCTTTGGCTCCTCAACAGTCAGAAAATCTGAGAGAACCCCTCTCGGTGTGAAGATCTTGAAGCGCTGTGCTTTCACCTTCAAGGACTTCCCTCATTCCCCCCCTTAATTCTGCAGCATATTTCTCCACAGACAATAATCCAGGTCAGTGGATGGTCTTGGTCACAAGAGCTGTACCAAAAGATCCTTCCTTTTCTTCAGCTCATGGTAGATACATCATGCGCCAACATTAGGTCGTCCTCAGAAGTTACCTGGCAAACTGGTCTTTCTGTTCCAGCTTCGAAGGTTCCGACTTCTAGTAAATCTTTCGAAACAATGTTGTACGTCACCGTCAATTATGAAAAAGCGCGATGCCAAAACACCTTCGTAGCTAGCTCTAGTTTAGAAGCTGCAAGTGTGTACTTCAGAGCGCCCTATGAGAGTTAAAGGATCCATCAGCTGTCGGCTGATCGTGGTTTCTTCAGTTCTGTCCCGTTCGTTCATAGAGAATCTAACTCTACCGAATGACCGAACTCCTAAGCTTTGCCTTTATACATGCGGCCGCTGACTTAATGATCATGATATTGCCATTCTTTGTACAAGTGAGGTAGGTTCCAGCTTGCGATCTCCGAGTTAGCACGTTGCATCTTCAAGTTGTTTAGCTAGGAATCGTTAGCCAGCGGCTCTTGTTAGACTTCGTGACTCGAATGATACTACCCGCACTAAATGAGCCAATACAACTATCGGTCGTCATGATGGGGCGAGCTCGGAGCAGCCTGCATAGGATTCACGCATCAAGATGAGTTAGATACTACTCCGTAAGAGAGGTCTTACATAGCTTCCGCTCACAAATGGGGCCGGGCAACTCAGCCACATGTCATTTTCAAACGAAAAGTTTGGATCCTACACATATATATACGATTAGCTGGGCCAGTTGACGGCGCTGACCCCATTGATGACCTCGGCCTTGAATTGACTTTGAGCCTTATTGTCTCAAGTCAATCGGCGCACCGCCAAGGCCTAAAAGCTCCGGTTCAGTCAGCACTGTTACAGAGCACACCAACAAGTTACAACGCGGTACTGTTATCAGAAAACAACTTACTTGTACACTTTCTGTGGTAGTAAACACCTTCCACAGAGCCGCTAGATGCCTGTCTCCGTAGTACGGTACAAATCACACCACGTAACTAACCACAGTCGTTGAATGAGATGAGACTTGTGGTCACTGGCTCACTGCGTGACTACGTCTGATATGCGCAATGATCTGAACCGAAGTCTCTCCAACGTTAGACGAGCTAGCTACAAGCTGGTAGAATACCGCTGTATCCCTTTCCGTCCACGATTGCCTCGGCAGCCGCAGCGAAGGAGAATGATGCTTGAACGGCACATAAAGTCGATGCACAAGTCATCCAAAGTTGCTCAAGTTAGGACCCTCCCTTTTTCGAGTGGGGGCAATTTCAATTGAGTCCAATCAAGGTAGAAGTGGAACCTGAGTGGACATCGTGAACCCTCATCCTCCACAATCTCAAACCCACGAACACACAGAACAGCACCCGCACCCCTATCCATCCTTGAATCCAATTCTCGTCACCAACCAGCATACGAGTTCCAAACGGAATCTTCAACACCTAGCGTCGATGGTTTAGTGGTAAAATTCTCCGTTGCCATCAAGCAGCGTCGGGGAGCCGGGGGTTCGATTCCCCCTCGACGCATTCCTTTGCCTTTTGCTGTGTTCTGCTACCTCTGAGGTATTCAATTAAGCTGGAATCATGTTTGCGGCTTTCTTTTAGTCGAACGTACACTGTTGCTTCACATGTGAAAGTCGAACAAAGTGTTCTTATGTGAATACAGCTTTAAGTGGGGATACGTTGCTAGCATCCTCTCGATGCCAGCTACTTATGCTACCGGGTTGATCTTGCATCAGATTGCATCCAAGAAAGGTAAATCAAGGAACCCTTACTAGTCATGTTTTTACTCGATATCCTCCGACGCGTGTCTAGCATCCACTAGATATCGTGATCACGTACGGGGCGAGTTCACTCAAGCGGGCGTATCGAGAATCAAAGTAGATCGTAAGGATTATCGGTGCTAAGAACACCGAAGTTGACGTTATTTTGCAGCATAAGTTATTTTCTTATTAAAAACGCAGATTTACCCGAAGATTGTTGGGCATAGTGAAGTCAAGGGGCTGGATCCCCGGTGTAGCCCAAGCCCAAGCCTCACCCCGAGGCTCTTTCCCTCATTCCCCGTCGTTTCTGCAATACATCCATATCGACTACGACCACCTACCCATTCATTACAAGGAGTACATATGATCACGTCACACAGAAGGCCTAAAGGTGTAGCAGGAACTATAAAGTTATAATCTGGTTGGATGCCTATTACTAGCTTGTTTATCGAAGTAACCTAAGTAGTTAGGTTGGGCGTATGCCTTGTACTTTCCGAGCAGTAGAAAACAAACAGATTATAAATGACTTTATCATTTAATCGCCATTGAAAAAGAGAAAAAAGGCAAAAACAACAGGAGCCAGCCGATGACCGAACGCCGGAATCCTGAAAATGTACGGAGCATCACGCAAATAGTCAGCACTTCACGGCTTTCACCACTCGGCCATCAGGCCCGGTATTTGTTGTTATCACAAAGCGAGGTAGCAAGTGGAAGACATGTATAGTAGAAAGTGGCTTGATTCCTCTAAGTGGAAGATCCGTATGAGGGTCATATCTATATACCGTACAAGACGGGTAATCGGCTTGCGGAAAGTGGTATCGTACGGCAGTAACCGGCAGCGCCACGTATGGCGCTGCGACAGTTGTTATAATGGGAAGGCATCAGGCTCCCTATGAAGCTTACGCCTTCCAACCATGACTATTCAGTGATTAACCGGGGGCGAATTCCTGGGAAGTCTGTTGAACGAAAGCACCCGCGGGAAGGAGCACCTGAGCGACATGGCTCTTCCCTTATATGTAGCTAATTCTACTGCCCTTGTGCGCTCGTTGTTCATGGTACAGTGTTATCAAGGCCCAAATTGCAGCAAAGTATTGTTATACGTACTCACCCAAAGTCAGAGAATGCTCTACGGCCGTTGCTCTACTCCGCAATTCATCACAGGCAAACAGTGATTTGCCACACATTCTTCACCGAAATCTCGCCCCGTTGCCCGCCGCACAAGGCAACTTAAAATACCATGTGCTACCCTTGACAATTCCACCCCGCCATCGTGTTTCCCGGGTGCGGTGGAACGTTCCGCACCACCGGGCTAAGTGTCAGTCAGCCTAGCAAAGGGCTGAGACACAACCCTGGGCGAAGCCGCAAAACTCTCCTGTTGCAGTGGAGGCGTGAGGCGGTCCAACAGCTTGCATGCCAAAGTCAAGGATCTAGACCGTCGTACCCGAGCGGGGGACTCCCACGTTTCCCCTAGGTGCCGTCAGATCAGCACATGGCATGGGAAAGATGGCATGCGGACTACGGCCAATCAAATGTGGAGGATTTCAAAAAGCCAGAGACATTTGGATTCCAGCTGAGGAGGGGGAAGAAGTGATTGGGGGTCCCCTCGGAAACGCACATGTGCTAGATTGGAGTAGGCTATAAGATGTACCTGCATGTAAGACTCCTTTGACGTTTCTCGTGACTTAGTCTCCGGTGAATATGAATATTGTGCGACGTTTATTAAGCGTAAGCACGTCCGCTGGTGATTCTGATTCCAGAACACCAATCCAGCGAACCTTTCTCGTGACAAGATGAGGAAATTCACAATGAGATTTGCAGGGACTTCCAACCTGCCGATGAGGCTTGGTTGCGGGCTTCAACGTTCCGGAAGCGGACCGGCGCGTGCCCGCCGGTACTTCAGCCGCAACTTCCCAAGGTCTAGAGTGGGACATGAGACATTTGAAAACTCTCAATCATCTTCTCTGGCATACCTGGGCACATCGTTCGCATGGAAGGGTCTCTAGTAAACCCATACTGCCCAGAAGGTGGCGTACAATCCCTGCCGAACCTCACTATGGAGAGATAGGCTACAGCGTCTCTGTTGGTAACCCTATCACAGGGTATTGGTTCGAACCGTAGGGTCCTGGGGGTGACGAAGTATCAATATCTCTGTATTGGTTGATTCTGCGTAAGGAGTAGAAGGGAGATTTCAACCGGAGGTTGGGTGGACCATCGAGGTGTAATTGTACCCTCTCGAGGTGGCCCCTGCTCTACCCTTACTCACGGTCGAATTGGGCTTCCAATCCGACAGTCTCATCATTATTTGCCGGAATGAAGGCAGCGAGCGGATTGGAGTGGCACAGGCCTTACGAAAGAAGGGAAGGGGAAGCAGAGAACGCCTCACTGTCAGCTTCGAATGCGGCTGAGGCCTCTCAGATGATACTTTCGAGCTTACAGGCCGTGGCGCTCGACATGTCTTGTTCGCACTTCAGCTCTCCAACTGAAGCTATCAACAGGCAGCTCGTATCAGCGCTTGCGGAATTCTGCTTATCTGTGGTTTTTGTAACTCGTGCTTCCATTTACCTTCATTTGGGTGATATTGCTAGTATAAGGATGAATTACTTAAAGAGTCCCGTCTTCTCACCATCCATCCTGATCCTGGAATCATCTCACATCACAGTTCACCTTCATCCTCTACTCTCAAGAACCAGCTATAACAGAGCATCTCTGCAACCATGGGTCTACCAATCACCACCACCGCCTCCATCAGCGTCCCGGAGGCCAACTCCTTCGGAGCCACCGTCCTCCAGCCACAAGGCGACCACAATTCCAACGGCCGTGGCGGCTGCCCGTTCATCGCCAACACCCACAACAACGGCACTCCAGATACTGCCCATGCCAACATCACCCAACAAGCAACGCCAGCGGCATCGGCCGCGCCGTTGGGCATCTTGAATAAGCTGGAGAACCGCACCTTCACCGGAAGGGGCTTCAATACCATCTTCCGCCCCCACAGCACCACCTCTCCTACTGCATTGCATGCCACTCCCGTGTTGGAGCCGCCCTTTATCCCGGACAACATTCTCCAGCTCAACATCACGCACGAGACTCAAGTGTTCGCTCCCGGTCTCGGAAATGTCCCCAACCGTGGACTGATGAAGCAGGAGGATATTGACCTTAACGGCGTTCCTTACACTCAGACCATTCATGATTTCACGGAGGCGGAGACGAAACCTCCCGTCATCCACTTCGAGCCTGGTCTCTGGATGCACGTTCCCGCGACCACTATCCCCAAGCTCAAGACCTCCCTTGCTCGCATGGCTTCCATCCCGCACGGCACCACCATCAATGCCCAGTGCTTCTCGGAGCCCTCCTTCAGTCGTGGGACACCAATCATCCCCGAAGTCGACATCACTCCTTTCCCGGTCGGCGGCGGCAAAAAGATCCACTTCCCTAGTCAAGACGTAGAAAACCCTGCTACCTTCCGCCTCCCCCAAGACCTCAACAAGTTCTTGCAAGCCAATACAATCACCCGAGAGATGGTCAAGAACCCCAACAGCGTCCTGGAGCTGGCCAACAAGGGCAAGACCATCCTCGAGAACACCTCGTACAGAATCACAACCAAGCCCGAGGGAACCAACCTCGGCGGCGGCACCTCCAACATCGGCTTCCTCGTCGGCGACGGCCAGCAAACCCTCGACCTCCTCAGCCGCGCCAACGCAAACGCCACCCGCATGGAAGCCCAGTACTGGATCTCCACCGTCCACACAAAGATCCATCTCGAGCCGTGGAAGGGACCCTCAGAGCACCAGCGGTGCAAGCATTTCTCCCCGCTGCCCCTCCGCGAGGGCGAGGAGGTGCCCGTCTTTGAGGTCCACTTCCCGATCCCGCAGGCAAAGACCGTGAGCGTGGAGTATACCCAGCTCCAGTACACGCAGAATGTCACACTGGACTTTGCTGGGCTGAGCTGGCCGCATGTTACTGTTGGTACGCTTGTGCAGACAAGTCCTACGGTGTTGCATGCTTCGATTCTGAACCAGAAGGAGTGAGTTTGAGACTTACGGTTGGGCATCTTCTATGTTTACTAGCCATTGACTTGGTTATTGTTTCTTTTGTCAAACTTGAAGTAATATGGGCTCAGCACCCGGTACTAGCTGAGTCCATGGAAAAGGAAAATTGGACCGCAGATCGAGAAAGCTTGCTGCGCCAATGAGGAACAAGCAACCACGAGGATGTACCCACCTATAGCTCCTAATAAAATGAGATATCCCTACTTTTGAGTGTCATATGATCGTTTTCACTGGTATTGCTCACTGATACGGTTGTACAATTGTTGAGGGTTCAGAGTTCTAGACCGGCGGATTTACGCAACTGTCTTGGACGCCGGAACATCATCAAGCAACCCCTCAGCTCGACTGGCCTCACACTGGAAAGAACTATGCGCTTTTGTTTAGCATGACTCTGCTTGTTCCCGATCATGGCCTAAGATCTGAGATGGTTTCCTGCGCTAAAGTGAGGATCGGGGTCCCCAGAGCCACCTCATATCCCCGCCTCTAAGTGACGATCATTGTTAGCCTATCTGGAGAACGGGATCAGTCATGACATGATACACGACCAAGGTTGATTCCCCCGTCGAGCTAGGTAAGGCTCCATAGGACCGAGTGTCGAATCTGAAGCCCCTCATTTGGACATCGTGTAAGTGTTTTGGGAACTTCATATCAAGGGCCACGTACTCTCATATATCCATAACTCGCGGTGAGCGGATTCAATCAATGTGACAATGTTGGTGGATTGCTCAGTTCCGGCACCATAATCGACATATCTCATGTGGCATGTTGACATGAACCTTGTGTCGCCAGCTCCAAGCTCAAGGAAAGACCCCCCCTCCTTCCTTCCTTCCTTCCTTCCTTACTTCCTCCCTCAACCCGCCCTGATAGGGGAATGCCCACGGGCCACGCTTAAAGGGAGTCATCCACTGCTGGAGTTTCAAGCTCTGATACACCAGGCGCATCCGGGGCAGGTGTGTCCAGTGTGGTTCGCCACAAGAAACCCGAGCATTGTTGCGCAGGTACTCGGCTATTCCAGCTACTCATGACGTCGTTGAGGCTCGCTCACATCAAGAGTACCTCAGCAACTACACACTACTCAATAGGAGAAGGCCAAGGTGGCCACCATGCCTCGCCGTCCTCTACATATTCCGCCCTGAAACCACCAACAGAAGAACCTATCTGAACCAAGTCGTAGTCTAATACCTTAACCTATTCCTACTTTGAGACACTGTCACTATGCCTTATGCGACGTCTCAGCACAATCACTTCAGAGCTCAGGGCAGGAAGTAACACCCGAACCTTACTCCTGCCTCGTGCCTCTCATTCCCTGCTTCTCAACGTAGTCTCGCGCCTACCTTATCCTACCCACCGTGACTCTCGTGCCTGCCCTGCCTCTTAAGTCCCGCCTGCCTTATCTTGCCCACCTTCCTCCTCCTTCCCCCCTCCTACCTACCTCCTTCCTCACTCCTAGGTACCTCCTTCCTATCTCCCATCAACCGTACTTGCCCTGTTCTGCCCTGCCTGCGAACCGCGAAGAGTATAAACCAACCCCCCCCCCCCTCCCACGCCCATTCCCCTCAGCGACACATCAGGCCGGTGAGGTTGGTTCGAAATCAAGACCAAATACTCCAATGAAGTCGAAAACTGCACTCGATCGAGGAACGCGCTGTCCATGATGCAGATACCGCGAGGATACACATGGATGATAAAGCCTTTGTTTTCAAATACGCTCCCCCTATCTCTCTCCTTCTCACTTCGCACCTCTCTTTATCCCTTGACCACCAGCTCAACTCACATAAAGCAAACACTGCTGTCCTCTCATCTCCCTCAACCGCGCTTCGGCCACCGGCGGAATGTGCATGGGGTATCAATTATATATAAATCCGCACCGATGCCTACGCCTCTCCCCTCTCCTTCCTCCCTCATGGCCCTCCCCCCTTTCCTCTCTACGCCATCCTCTTCGTCCACGTCTCCACGAGCTCCCCAACCGCGCTCAGCATCGCCATCTCACTCGCCGAGCCCTCGGTAGCGAAAACCCCCTCCACACTCATCCTGCTCTTCCCTGTCAAGATCTTCAGCCTCAACTCAAACAGCAACAAGCACAGATGCCCCAAACTCCCCAAACTTGAAACGAAGCAAACGCCAGGCATGGAGAAGATTCAACAATAAAAACGCCTGGCGACATGGAAGAAGAAACACCCCCACCCCCATAAACTCAACAACATAACACGCAGAAATGGAAGAATAAAGATGGAGCTCAGCATGAGCAAGTATGTGTGGATGTTCAAAAAAAGTTGACAATTTTTCTGGGTGCAATCGCTAACGATTATACATTTTGATAACCGGGGGAACAATATTGAGGCAAGTCTTGACGAGGATGGACACACCCTCAATTGCCTTTCGATTTCGAATGTGAACCACGGCTCTGCCGGAACACATTCCAGGAATGTTGGGTTTTCAATAAACAAGCTCCTCTCCTTTCTGGTTCGCAGCACAGCTTCTAATAAAAAACAGTATCCCTGTCACTCGGCGCGTCGCCATGAGACCTCCATTGCCATGAAGTGACGCACACGTCGGATCGGGGATACGGTCATCGCTGAGTCGGAAAGCTGCTGGAGGACGCTCGGTAGTGTAACAAAGAAAAACTTGGACCGCGGTGCTGCTCTCAAGTGCATTGCCTCCGAGAGACAATGCAGTTGTCTGGTTGGGAATATTTCGATAAATACATCTAATTGATCGGCCGATGCTGTGAATGGAATTAAGAGACTCGTAACGTCGTTGGAGGCTCGCCTCGCGGTTGAAAAGGGGGGTATGTTGGCGTGATTCGGACACGGGATATACGGGTTTGAGTTGTAAAGTTGAGAGACAGAACGCTTGGCAGCGACCGCTCACATGACGAGACAGCAGCCGCAGCCTCCGCTCTTCTTCTTCTTTTCGCCGCCCATGGACATGTTGGCCGCAGCAGAGGGCTGCTCGGGTACGCGGACGACGGTCTGAGTCTCGGCGGGCTGCTGGGGCTGCATAGTCGGGCTCGGTGGGCCCCGAGGGCTGGGCAGCGGGCTAGTCTGGGGTTTGTCGGAGATTTTGGGCATGGTCGAGTACGAGTTGGTCTGCTTGATGCTCGGCGACGTGGGGCTCTGCGCCGTAGGACTCTTGGGGGCGTCGCCTCTGAGCGGCCACTCATCTTGCTCCTGCTTCTCCTCTTCGGGGGGTGTAGTGCTCGATCCAGGTTCGGGTGGCTTGAGAAGACCGTCTGCCGTGAGTGGGCGGAACTCCTTGTCGTAGACACTGCCATACTTGCCCTCCCTTTCCCATTGCTCCTGCTGCAGACGCTTGGCGACGGTCGGGAGTAGTTGCTGGTCAGGCGGCAGACGAGGATCGGGACGGTAGGATCCAACCATCCATGGCGGGTCTCCCTCTGGCTTCTTGACACCGGGAGACAGGTCTCCAGATCGCGTAATCGGCCTGTTCCCAGATATACTACTCGTAGAATCCTTGCCACCACGTGTCTTGGTCTTTCCACCACCCTTGACCTGAGTCGAGGTCTTTCTGGTCGTGCTCGAGGTACCGCTGCCTTTCCGGGGGGAGATATCGGTGTTGTTGCGCTTTGCGGGTGCCAAAGTTGACGCCGCACCGAGCGTGTTTGCGCTACCGCTCCTTGGCCGCGGTTTCGGATAGGCTATCGTCTCGAGCTCGCTGCCGCCGCTCCGTCTTCGTCCAGAGGGCGCGTTCCTCTCCAAGTAGTACTCGGGAATGGGGGCCGGGCTGGCCTTGGCGACGGGGATTTTGGAGCCGCTCTTGTTCTTGTCACTAAGGGAGGTCCAGTAGGCATCATCTCCTTCGACAGCGATTTCCTCGGGCCGTCGAAGATCCCAGACAGGCAAATCCATGTCCGGCAAAGTCTCTTCCGGGACTCTGCTCTCCGGCGAAATCGAGCTTTTCCTAGATCTCGGCAGAGGTATTTCGTCGTCTGGCGGGGCGGACGTGGTCCTCCTGGAGCTACCGTTGAGCTTCTCCTCACTACGGCCTCTGCGCGGTTTGCTGCTCGCACGCGCCCTCGGCAAGACGATGCCTGCAGCCTGGAGCTCCTGACTCTCAATTTTGGCCAGCTTGTCTCGGTGAATCCACTTGTCGTCGTCAGAGACGGGCACGTCGTTCGTCGATCGCTTCTCGTCAGACCCAGCTTTCCCCCCGAAAACATCATCCGCAATGTTGCCCGATTTCGACGTGTCATGGTCACGCCGGTTTGTCCTGTCCCATGATCTTGTGCTTTTCGTTAGAGATATGTTGTCATTGGAAGCCTTCTTTCGCGGGGGAGGCAGAGGCTCGAAGCCGTATTCGTAAATGTTCGCCGAGCTGCCATTTTGCGAAAGGGGTGGCCGGCTGTTCTGATCGGTTCTATCAAGAGACCTTTTGTTTTGAAGGTTCTGCGGGACAATGTCAGCATATGCACTCGCACATGTCCTAGCCAGTGCCAATTGCAAAAAACTGCAAAGTCGGCGGAACCGTAGCCATCTTACCTCTGTGTCTGCCGTTGTATAATTATTCCATGCACCTCCGTTGCCGTGGCTGCTGCTCGGGGGCGTAATTGTGTTGGCCGTCGCTGACGCGGCGGACATGGCGGCCATCGCGTGGTCTGGAGAGCTGGAGGGCCAGCAAGCTCCAGACTCTTGGAGTATATGGATCGAGAGAAAGTCGCCGGGTCCAGTAGCGAGGCAGGTCTCGCGAGTGCAGGACGAGTGTCGGGCCAAGGACGACGAGATTGAATGGCGGTGCTGCAACAATGGCAGTAAAGAAGTGAAGCTAGAGCTGGTGTTGTTGGACAGGAGCGGGATATTGAGATTGCGTCGCCGGCTTTGCGTCTAGCGTGGTGGTAGCTCTTCCGGCAAAGCGGATTATTAGGAGGCGCTCACGAAGCGCGACGGTATGAAAAGGTCTGGGCAGGACGATCAGGGTCAGGGTCGCCTGGTGTGTCGAAACAGAGGAAAGCGAGTAGAGGTAGCGTCAAGGCGGGATAGCGACCGGAGGACGGGGTCGGGAGAAGGGTCAACGAAGGTGGTACGTGGTAAAAGAGACTGTCGAATCGAAATGGGGAATAGTAGAGAAGAGAGGGCCTTTCAGCGGGAGGCCATTCGCAGCGACGAGTGCGGTGGTGGGAGGAAGTGGTGGTGGTTTGACGGGAGCTGTTGTTGCGTATGGCGTCCAGTCTCCTCTC